GGTGGTGGGGGGGGATATAAAATGTAGGGGGCAAGTGCAGCTCTCCCTTGTAGGAGCGAGAGAGTGTATTGTCTAACAAGAAAAGAAAGGTCATTTCTATCGGGAATTACAACACAAGGAACATTCATCTTTGGTAATTATCGCAATGGAAAGCTGCACTCATTCCTCAAGCAAACGAATGTTGAGGAACCTCACAGTTTAGCCTCTTATTTTCTCTTCCTACAGAGAATAGGTGGGTGGGTGGGTGTGTGGGGTGGGAAGAAGCCATCTCTGATTAAAGAGAGTTCTGGAGAAGTTATACTTTCCGTTGCTACGTAATGTAAAGTGGAAGCTCACCTGCGGTCCTGTGTTTTATAATAAAAAGCAATTCACAGGATTCACTGTCATTTAAAGGTTGTGCAGAAATATTATGAAAGATCAGGAAATGACAAATGTATGAAATGGATTGTTCACGGATGAAAGCTACGGAGATATTCTGGATGAAATCATTTTGTCTCAGCAATCTATAACACATGTAAAAACCAGTAAAGCACGTCACAATAATCCTTGCATTTCCATGTCCGGTACTTAAAGAACTGAAGGCTGATTTTATCCCTTGTGGGCGTTAATACTTCTTAGTCTTCGACTACAAATGAATTCACTCAGCACCTAAAGCTGCAATTTCCAACAAGCAACAACTAACTTAACACTAGTCATGCACCATTGCACCCAATTAGAAACTAATTGGAATACTGTAATACTGAATACTGTAGGAGTCAACACTGAGCCATTTAGTATTCACTAAGATATGTTAACAAGTGCAAATGAGGCTGGCATTATAATGTGGTGTAAGCATGTAAAAGGGAGGGGGAAGAGAGGGAGGCAGGGGAGGATGGAGAGAGGGAGGGTGGGGAGAAGGAGGGGGGAGAGAGGGAGGGGGTCCAGAGGAAGATTGGAGATTTCTGGGTGTTTTTTTGGAGGGGAGGGAAATCACTGCTGAATGCAGCCATGGTTTCCCCGTACGCGGATGATGTCACAGCCTTTGGCTCTGACCGACCATCGATCGATCAATCGATCGATCGCGAGCCTGACGGGCATCTGCGATCACTTCGAGCTCCAGGGTCAATCGACGGAAAAGCGAGGCCTGAACACGGGTGTAAAACACTGGGCCGAGCGTTTACAGCTAGCGAGGGAGAAACGAGGGAGGCGGCGACTGTGCACATTGTCCATCACTGGGACAAACTTGGCGATCCAGTGTGAGGTGATCTCTGGCCTGCTGCGCGTGACGCAAGTCCGGCTTCCTGCGGTGTGCGTGCGCCAAGGTGGTTTGGAGAAGCACGGAGTGGCACTGGAGCTCGGTTCAGCCGAGGCAAAGGGACAGACGGGGGTCTGACCCAACGCTAGGTGCCCTCGCTTCGCTGCAACCTCCCCACACAACAGGGCACCGGCTCAGTCGAGGGGTCTAACGTAGGGATTGTAAAGAGGGACGCTCGGCCTCGTAACGGAAGAGCGTCGCAAAATGCGATCGTGCGGTGGGCGTGAGTCTCTCCTCATAAAGTGGGGAGCAGCGGGGCGGGGAATGTCGGCTCGCCGACCAGTAAGCGAAGGATGGCTGAACTGGGAACAGACCCAGAGTGTAACTGCTCCGCCGCTGCAGGTAAAGGCAGCAGAAGGCAGGACCGAGCGCGAGACAACAGAGGCCGCAGCAAGGAAACGGGCACCATGTGTCACGGGTTTGAAGCAGTCGCGCGGTTTGTTTTTTCCCCCGTTGCGAGCGTGCGTCTTTTGCGGAATGTCTTTTGGTCACTTCAACCCACGGCTGTTTGCGGGACTCCAGCCGTGCGCAATCGGCTGCCGCGTTTCGCCCACAAAATACACAGTCGATTCACTTCGCACCGTCTTCTGTGAAGCTCTTTGAGACGTCTGGAAGGCGTGATAAGGGGGGCTGTATCAAACGCGAGGGTTATCAATGTATTGTTTGTATAATAATTTATAGCTTTGCTTGGAAACATTTATAGGTTTGCCACAGCCCCTCTTTGCGGATTGTAACGGGAGTGAAGAGGATTTGCGAAAGTTCTCTTTTCTGTCACGGGTGTGTTTTTTCTTGAGGAAAGCAGAATATTTTTTTTTTACGTACCATTAAATGTATTTTTTTACACACACACACACCAATAAATATATGTGTTTGGCCTTTTTGGCGAAGATGAAAAAAAATAATAGGTCCTCAAGAAAAAAATAATAATAATAATTTGGTCACTCAATCCACGACTGTTTGTGGGACATTGCTGTGCGCAATTGGCTGCCGCGTTCGCCCACAAATATACAGTCAATTCACTTTACAGTGTGTTCTGTGAAGCGCTTTGGGACGTCCTCCCAACGTGAAAAGCGCTATATCAAATGCAAGGATTATTATTATTATTATTTATGATAATGCATCTCCCAACACGACCACCTACCTGTGCTCACTATTCACTGTACTGGCACATAAATGAGGTATAATAATCCTGCACAAAACACAAAAAACTCAGCGGGTCAGGCAGCATCTATGGAGAAAGGAAAGTGAGTCAATGTTTCGGGTCCACGACCCTTCGTCAGAACGTTGGGAGGGAGAGGTTTTTAAGGACGAGTTGAGAGGGGGGAGGCAGGACAAGGACGACAAACAAGACAAAAAAGAAGACAAAGGAGAGAATGTGTTAGTTGATGGGTCGAAGAGGTGATGGTGGCGTACAGCAAAAGTGGGGGGGGGGTTGCAAAACAAAAGGAGGGTGGGGGGGGGGGGGGTGGGGGGTAGGTTGAAACAAAACTGGGGAGAAGAGGTGTTAATAGTGCAATAATAATCCTGCATTTGATGTAGCGCCTTATTCACTCTTACAAATTTCTCAAAGTTAAGCCTAACCCCCTCCTCCCACGCATCGCCCCCTCCCTCCACCACACAAAAAAATCGTACGGTAAGGGGCAATCCTGCGCAAAGTCACCAAACAAAAGCCACGGTGATACAACGGGCCTCGGACTGACCTTGGGCTGCGCTACGGGATAATCAACTTTGTTGCTCTTGGTTACCGTCCATTGTTGGTTGCGTCGGAGGCTTTGGTGACGACTGCGCCCGACTTAGCTGTAACTTGCTCTTCGCAGACTGGATGCACGCAAGCGAACGCACAAACACACCACTTGTCCCTTCCTCTTCGACCTTGCTTACGGTCACCTCCTCCCTCCCCCGCCCCCTCACCCACCAGCTCGACGTCAGGCTCCGCCACTGCTAAGCGCTCCGAGGCTTGCATCTGATACAGCGCCTCATCACGTCTTCGAGACGTCTCAAGGCGCTACACAGAATATACTGTAAAGTGAATTGATTGTATTTTAAAATTATAGATGCTTGTTGTCGTTTGCAGCAATATATCCTGCGAAGCGGTTTAAGACATCTCACCGACATAGTAAGGAGCTATGTCAAATGCAAGGATTATTTTTAGGCATTATAATGCATCTCTCCCACTACCACCACGACTACTGCTCACTATTATGGCACTATATCAGATGCCAGGATTATTATTATTCGCTGTCCAGGCACATAAATAGATAATACTAATTCTTCTATGTGATGTAGCGCCTTGTCAATTCTTCCAAATTTTTCAAAGCATTTCACACAGTAGTTGTGTGTTTGAGAGCACTGTCTGGCAAGCTTCCCACCGCTTGTCCAGCAAGGGTCATCTTCCCTGTGGCTTGCAGCGTTAACAAGAGCTGAGAGGGAAGAGTTCCTCCCCCTTATGACTGATCTGCTCTTACAAGTCCTGCTGATGAGCCAGGCCGGCTGTGCGGTGATCAACAGTGCCCTGCAGTACTGGTACCTGCCCGGCTTAGCTCCCTTTAGCCCTGCAAACCAAAGCCCTAACAGGTAGGGTGGTCCTCGCTGGACAATCAGCAGGAAAGCTTTCCAGACAGTGGTAATGGCAAGTTATGCTGCTTTAGACTCCAGGAGTCCCCCAACACAGCCAGCACGGACATGATGGGCCAAATGACAGGCATTAAGGAATATGGGGATAGGGCGGGTAAATGGAATTAGGTTAGAAGATAAGCCATAATCTTACTAAATGGCGGGGCAGGCTCGAGGGGCCGAATGGCCTACTCCTGCTCCTACGTCTTATGGAAACCAAGCAACAGCATCTTGGCATTCATACGGAGCCCTTCGAGTTGGGTAGGGTCTCGAAGCACTGAACCCAGTGGAGTTTGACGCAGAGGAAAGACCAGATGTGCCGTGGGCTTGAGACTGTATTTGTATGGAAACCCAGCGCACGGGCGGTGCGGTCGCGAGCAGTGCCTTGGAATACCGCACACCCTCCTGGCCCAGGAACTGGATTACCGAGACCGCCACCGAGGGTGGGCTCCATTCCGACGCGGGAAACAGCAACGAAAGCGTTCAGGTGGAACAGCGTCTTGTCTTGGAGCACGGAGCGGTGGTGGGATTTGACGTCACCCCCCACCCCCACTCCCACCCGCATCCCACCCCATCAAGGGAACATTTCTTCTTTTCCCTCCCCACTCTTCCTCCTCCTCCTCCTCTTCCTCCTCCGGTCAAGGTTGCCAGGAGTTAATTGTAGACCCCACTCCCCCCCCCCCCCCACCCACCACCACCACCCCACACCCCCAAAATCCCCCCCTAAACCAAACATCAGCCCAAAAGTAGCCCAATACGCCTCCCGCGGGGAGAGCGGAGCGGCCAATTTAGGTCAGCGCTTCGGAAACCGAGAGCGAACAGAGGGTTTTTGGGGGGTTTTCTTGAAGGTTTTTTCAAATGAATTTTAAAATTAAAAAAAAATAAAAACGAAATCAGGAAAAAATGTTTCACTTGTGCCAGTTTTTTTTTGGGGAGGAGGGGAATTATTAAAAACCGCCCAATTGGGCGTGAAGTCGCCCAACCCGGCGCCGGGTGCCAGCCTGTGGGTGGGAGGCTGACCGGCAGAGGGCGCTGAGGTCTGGAGGTCCGCGCGGGCGTCTCCTCTTGCCCTTTCCGGTCGCCTCGTTGGCGCGTCCCACGTGGTGCGGCTCCTCTCTCCGCTGCTGCCCGGGAGCGCGTGGCCATGGCGGCGCTGTACAACTTCAAGAAGATCACCGTAGTGCCGACCGCCAAGGTACCGGCGCTGGGGGGGAGAGGGGGGTGTGTGGGGGGGGAGAGGGCTGTGGGGGGAGGGCTGTGGGGGAGGGGGTGTGGGGGAAGAGAGGGGGTGTGTGGGGGGGAGAAGAGGGCTGTGGGGGAGAGGGGTGTGGGGGAGAGGGGGGGTGTGGGGGGGAGAGGGCTGTGGGAGAGGGGTGTGTGGGGGGAGAGGGGTGTGGGGGAAGGGCTGTGGGGGAGGGGTGTGGGGGGAGAGGGTGGGGGGGTGTGTGGGGGGAGAGAGGGTGTGGGGGAGAGGGGTGTGTGGGGGAGAGAGGGGGTGTGTGGGGGGGAGAGGGCTGTGGGGGGAGAGGGGGGGGTTGTGGGGGGGAGAGGGGGGTGGGAGAGGGGTGTGGGGGAGAGAGAGGGGGGGGGCTGGGAGAGGGACTGTGGGGGGGGGGTGGGGGTGAAGGGGGACTGTGGGGGTGAAGGGGGGTATGGGAGAGTGGAGGTGTAGGGGCGGGCGGGGAGGTAAGGGAGAGGAGGAGGAGAGGACTTAGGGGAGAGAGAGAGGGGTTGGTGGGGGAAGGGGACGAGAGCGGTCGGGGGGGGGGGTAGAGAGTGGGTTGGTGGGGGCGAGAGGGGTGAGGAGAGAAGGGGTGGTGGTGGTGGTGGTGGTCTTTCTGTGTATTAAATGTCTGTAAACGTAATTTTGTTGTTGTTGTTGTTGTCATCGCTGTAATTTCCAGGAAGCTTCTCGAGTTTGTGGGGCTCTAAATTAAAACTGGCTTCACACCCCCCCCTCCCCGGCGGTTGCTTTCTCGCTGTGTCGGTGCCTGAACTCCGAGCCCCACCGGGGATTTCCGCCATGTGGGAAAATTGCGGACAGAACGCTACGAGTTATAAACGCACAGGGTTGTGGGGGGGGGGGGGGGGGAGAGAGGGAGGGGGTGGGGGTAGAGGGGAAGGGAGGGGGTGCAGGGGAGTGTTGCTTTCATATCCAAAAGGGGGTGGTCTTTACGAGTTCGGATCTCACGCTTTCTGCGGCGCAAAGTTTCAACAGAGCTGTAAGATCGGAGGGGCAAAAGGCTGCAGTGTTTTGGTGACTCGTAACGTGTGGCTAACGATCAATAACGTCCTTACCCGCCGTCGTCGTCGCCGTCGCAAAATCAATGCAATGGCACGTCGAGCAGTAATTGAGGGTCGGTGTCACAATAACGATCCTCACGTTTGATACAGCGCCTTATCGCGTCTTCGAGGCGTCTCAAAGCGCTCCACGGGATATGCCGTGAAGCGAATCGACTGCATGTTTTGTGGGCAAAACGTGGCGGCCGATTCCGCACGGCAGAGTCCCGCAAACGGTCGTGGGTTGAAGCGACCAATTTATTATTATTATTTTTCTGTGGAAGCTATTGCCCCCGGAAAAGCGATCCGCCAATCGACTAAACAACTGGTTACCTACTTACTGCTCGGTAAACAGAGGCGAGTGGAGTAAGGAAACTTACCCAACGTTTCTCCCCGCCCGGGAATCAAACCCAGGTCCTTCGTTTGTGAGGCGAGTGCGCTAACCCTGAGCTACAGGGCAATCATTAGATTATCCTCTCAAACCAAAGCCAAGGAGAAAAACCACGAAGCCACTACCTCACCTATTAGAAATCTGCTCTATTTCGTAATATTACTTTTTTTTTTACGCTGTTGCACAATATTATATCATTGTGGCATTTTAGAAACAATAAATTGTTTCTCGACATTGTAAGTAGACTACAGTTCAGTCTGCGGGGTTACCAATCGTGTATCTATCAGCATTTTCAACACGTTCTAGGTTAAAAAAAAACAATAATAAATTGGTCATTTTCAATCTACGACTGTTTGTGGGACATTGCTGTGCGCAATTGGCTGCCGCGTTCGCCCACAAATATACAGTCAATTCACTTTACAGTGTGTTCTGTGAAGCGCTTTGGGACGTCCTCCCGACGTGAAAAGCGCTATATCAAATGCAAGGGTTATTATTATTATTATTTGTTAAATTTGCGTCTTCATCTTTGCTCACCTTTCCTTTTCAGAGATTGTGTCTGTTCCTCTTGTTGAGCTGACGAATTCTAAACGTATTGAGGTTCAGTTTATTTGTACCTCTCTTCAGATATAAACGGTAGAATCGGATCAGTTGATGACAGCATGATAGGTTTTTGTTTAACCTGCAGGATGTTTTAAAATGTATGCCTCTGCAGGATCTTGTTGAGATGTAAAGTACCATAGTTCTGACACGATGCTCTTTAGTTTTTATTCTATATGCAATAACCGATTCATTTGTATGTTTTTTTTTTAAGGACTTCATTGACCTGACATTATCGAAGACCCAGCGGAAAACCCCAACTGTGATTCACAAAAATTATCAGATTAACCGCATTCGCCACTTTTATATGCGAAAAATTAAATTCACTCAACAAAACTATCATGATCGTCTCACTCAGATTATAACTGATTTCCCTAAACTGGATGTAAGTTACTTATTGCTTCCTACCTTGTAAAATTAGCTATTATCTTCACTGCTGCAATTCCGTTTGAAGCACTGGTTCATTGACGTACCGTAAGGCTGTTACGATGCTGTTGGCTGCATCCAGTCACTGAGAGTCTGCATTATAATGAAGCACGAAAAAATGGTTCACTTCTGGGTTGGCAGGTTGCGTGCCATGCATAGCTCCAGTGATCTCAGCAACTGTCTTAACTGCCATGTAGTTGGCCTTTTTTTTTAGCCATGGGAAGTTGGCTCATCAGAACCAGAAACTAGGTGTCCAGAAACCTATGTTCAACCATGGCACATTTCTAACAAGGCCACCCTGTATTATGTATTTGCGCATGTTTTATTAGATATTTCATTGATCTATTTTGGGTCTTGGATTGTTCTGTAACATTTTCTTTACTTGAGAGACCCCAAACCCTTGTAGATGATTTTTTTTTAAATAAAAGAGTGGTTGAGTAATTTGAGGATAAAATGGTCTTTTTTTTTTATAATTTGGAAAGTTGAGCGTTAAATATCTTTCGCTACATTATCAACAACAATCTAATGAATAATTTGTCATGAGACCTTACCTTTGACCTGTTAAACTGACAGTATAACACCTTGCTACGATTTGGTTATGTCATTCTTACTTTTTTTAAAACAAAAGGTTCAAAGAGAAGAATTGTTGTTTAAAAATGACTTGTTTTGTCTTTTTTTTAAAAAAGGATATCCACCCTTTTTATGCTGATTTAATGAATGTGCTGTATGACAAAGATCACTACAAGCTGGCGTTAGGGCAGATCAACATTGCCAAGAACCTCATTGACAAGTAAGATTCACTTCTCTTCACACAATGAAAGCATTTTTTTCTTTGTCTTTTAAAATTCACAATGAGAATACAAGAAACGACAAGTTCTGTTTGTCGAATTATATCACTGGCGATGGAGTGTTCTTACCAGGAGAACCTGAAAACTTCGAACCGAGTTCAGTGTGTTATTGCTGGCTGTGGAGAAGGTGAAGAAAACTCAGGGAGGGAATCGTAAAAATTGGTAGATTTAGACATTACGAATTTATGGCTTGACAAATTGTATATTTCCGTGAAAACAATGGAAGCCGTTGTGGGTTTCCTGCTGTACACATTCATTGTATTTAGGAATGAGTAAAATGAGGTTGTACCAATGGAAGCTGTTAGAATGTGGAGTGCCGCACCACAGAGAGCTGTTGAAGCCAAGTCCACAACAGCATCTTGAGGGCAATTGGATAAATTTGTAAGTAAAATTGGTCTTTGGGGCCAGAACAGAGGAATATGATTGGAGCAGGTAGCTTCTGTGAAGAACTAGCTGCACCATTGGCCCAGTGGACTGACTGGCTTCCTCTTGTGCTGTAAACGTATCTAAGAAATGTATGCTGAGTTTATTGTACTTTAAATATTATTCCTATCAATGACTGACATAATTTCAACACCATCCTGTGGCTCACAAATTGAATGATATCTAAGCAGACTCTCTTCATTTTTAACTGTAGCGTTGGTAAGGATTATACCCGTCTGATGAAGTATGGCGATTCTCTGTACCGTTGCAAACAGTTGAAACGTGCAGCGCTGGGGCGTATGTGTACCATTCTCAAGCGTCAGAAGCAGAGTTTGGAGTATTTAGAACAAGGCAAGTATCAAAGTTTGATAAAACCTCTTTACGAAAGCGCAAATGTTATTTTTTTCAGAAAACGTTTCTATAACGTTGATATGACTATCACTGTCACTTCTGAGTAAGGTTTTGGGTGCAGACTTCCTATTTAAGTGCATATTAAAGATTCAATGGCACTTTCTGAAAAGTGACGGGAGTTTCTCCGGATGTTTCTCCTGGCTAATAATCCCCCTGATAAAATTGGTCATTAATTTCATAAATATTTGTGGGCGATGCAGTGCACAAATTGGCTGCCATGTTTGTCCAGAAAATGGAGTCGTTACACTTTACAATAAATCCCGTAAAGTGCTTGTGATGTTTTGATGACATAGTGCAAGGATTATTATTATTACACAGCAGGGAGAGGGGTATGAATGAACTATAGGTGGCTTTTACATATTTCCTTGTGACATTAGGAGCTGAGATCGGGTTAATTTAAATATGTGATGGCCTGTGACTCACCAAAAGGTGGAGCGAGTAAAAAGAAATGGAATTTAAAGGCTCCTCCAATGGCTTAGTGAGTAAAGGTATTATCCAGTGCATCAGTAAGAAAGAAGGTTGCAGGTTTGATTACACTGTTGTTACAAGATCTCGGTTGGGATACGATAGTTACCTTTGAGGTCCAGGGCCAGGAAGTGGGTGGGTGGGGAATTGGGGAATGTTGTTGCTCTTGATCACGGAACAACTGTCCCCCATCCAGGGGCTAAAAAGTGTACTGATAAAACACTGAGTGAGGGAAAGATCAGTTGTCATGTTCTGCACAAGTGAATGGTCGGTTGAACCCTCAATATTGAAGCTCACTTATTTTTCTTTCAGTACGGCAACATCTTTCTCGTCTGCCATCTATTGACCCCAACACAAGAACTCTCTTACTCTGTGGGTATCCTAATGTTGGAAAATCCAGCTTCATCAACAAGGTATGTGAACCGTTTTCTAATTTTTTTTTGCCCAAGTTGCCCTTTTTAGTTTTAAAAGTAACAACGACCAACAACATATCTGTGTAGCGCCTTTCACGTCGGAAGGGCGTCCCAAGGCGGTGGGAATAAAGCAATTAACTCGCAACAATCATTCATAGTACTTGTAATTTTGTTGTTGTGGTTATGAGGTGACGCACATACACAAAACTTCCATTTGTATAGCGCATTTGTATAGGACAGTCAATGTTTTGGACCCGAGTTGGGGGTCGGGATTGGAGAGGATGGAGGGCAGGGGGGAAAGGAGGGTGATCAAAGGCATGGTCAAAGAGAAGGATCTTGAGATGGGTCTTGAAGGAGGCACGGGAGGGGACGAGGCAGAGGGACTGCGGGGTGGAGTTCCAGAGGGTGGGGGCAGAGTGGCAGAAGGCCGGCCCGCCAATGGTGGGATCTTGAACCGTATCCTCTGTGTGATGGGAAGCCAGTGGAGTCGGGTGAGGATGGGGTTGATAGGGGTCACAGGGCCTGGTGCGAGAGCGGACCCGGGCTGCAGAGTTCTGGATGATCTGCAGCCTGTGGAGGGGGGAGTTGGGGAGGCCGACAAGCAAGCAACGCCTCATCCAACTCTTTTGATTGAACAAATTGCATTTACAGTGGAAACGTACTCATAAGGACAGCACACAGACTTTTGAGTGCTTGTACAATGTATATGATGGAAGCAGAAAATGTTGATTCTTTCCAAATCAAATTAGATAGATTTTTTCAGGAAATAATATCACGGTGTACAGTATATAGTTTGGGACATGACACGTGCATTCGATTGCCAGCGGTGGTGGAAGGCGAACTGGATGGCCCTTGATTTTTTTTGTCTGCCAATTCTTGTGTTCATATATGAGCAAAGCTATCACAGCATATAATGTTGAAGTGAATTTCTCCGACATGCGTGTTCTTCAGCTCGATTGAATTTGAGTAATGATTTACTGCTTCTCTTGACAAATCTGAAGCAGAATTCACTCCTTTTAAAGGTTTTCCATTTGAAGTCAGAGTTTAGTTTTTTTTTTAATTCATGTGATTTTTCTGACTTCGATAGCCTAAATGACTAAAATTGAAATAGGCACCTAAAATATTTGCCCAGCCAGAATTGGCAATTCCTCTCCAGAAGGCTTAAGTACTAAATTGAACACTGAAAATGACTTTTTGTCACTGCTGAAACTGACAAAAATATTATTTCTCTTGACAAAAATTGTAGAATCAACCTTTTCTGTACTTTCACTGCATCCGTATCTATTTTTGCTAATTTAGCCTATTATGAAGAATGAGTCATATTCCTGCCAAAGTAATTGAAGGGAATACGCTTTCTGGATTTCCGAACTTCACTTTTAATAGAGATTGATGTTATTTTGATCGTACTTTGATTTTTGTTACAAGTTATAGTTAAGGTGTATTATAAGAATACTTGTATAGGGTTCAAAACTTCATATTGGCGAGATAATCCATTGTAATCACAACACATGGGCAAGATGTAAAGGTAATGGATGTGTCTGGACTCTAAATCTTTGCTGTTATATTCAGAATATGTGCAAAGATGAGGGGTATTTCTAAGTTTGATGATTAACACTGGAATTGCCACAGCGTGATTTGAGATAGAAGGGACAGCATCACTGAAACCCTGAGACATTTTTAAAAAGTACCTCAAGATAACGTGTTATTGCAACATTTTATTAAATTGCAACAACACATTTTTCTACAAACAATTTTTTTCTGTGTATTAAAGATGTATTAAATTATTTTTTATTTTCAGATAACTCGAGCGGATGTTGAAGTGCAGCCTTATGCCTTTACTACAAAGTCGCTGTTCGTGGGACATATGGATTACAAATACCTGCGCTGGCAGGTTAGTTTTACTTTTCTTTTACACATTCTTGTTTTTTTATCACAAATTTTGTGTTAAACTTTACAAATTGCCCTTTTATGATATATGTGAATGACTTGGATTGGGGTAGGAGTCCTGTAGTTTAGTGGTTAGAGTACTTGCCTCGCTTCCCGGCAGCGCGAAACACTGGGCAAGTTTGTTTACTCCACACGCCTCTGATTACCTAGCAGTAAGTAGGAACCTGGTTGTTAGTCGATTAGCAGATCGCTTTTCCGGGGTTAATATTCCCTACCAATAAATAAATAATAATTTGGTCACTCAATCCACGATTGATGTGGGACACTGCTGTGAGCAATTGGCTGCCGTGTTTGGCCTACAAAATATGCAGTCAATTAAAATTTATTGTATATTCTGTGAAGTGCTTTGAGACGTCTCAAAGACACGATAAGGCGCTGTATCAAATGCAAGAATTATTGGGAATAGAGAGCGATATTTTAAGTTTGCAGATAAACACAAAACTTGGGAATGTGGTAAACAGATGGTAGCAGACTGCAAGAGACTGGTGAAATGGGCAGACACATGGCAGATGAAGTTTATTGCAGAGAAGTGTGAAGTGATGCATTTTGAGAGGAAGAATGAGGAGAGGCAATACAAATAAGCAGTACAGTTTTAAAGGTGGTACAGGAGGAGAGACCTGGGGTTTCACATACGCAGGTCTTTGAAGGTGGCAGTATAGGTTGATAGAGTTGTTTGAATAAAAAAAATCATATGGGGTCCTTTGGTTTATAAATAGAGACATTGAGTACAAAAGCAAGGAAGTTCCGCTGGTTAGGCTTCAGCTGGAGTATTGTGTCCAATTCTAGGCACCACGCTGTGGGAAAGATATCAAGGCCTTAAATAGGGTGCAGAGTAGATTTATCAAAATGGTTCCAGGGATGAGGGACTGTAGTTATGTGGAGAGTCTGGAGAAGCTGGGATTGTTCTCCCTAGAGCAGAGACGGTTAAGGGGAGATTTAATAGAGGTGTTCCACATTATGAGGGGTATGATAGAGTAGATAGGGAGAAATTGTTTCCACCGGCAGGTGAGTCAGTAACCAAGGCACATAGATTTAAGATAATTGGCAAAAGAACCAGAAGGGAGGTGAGAAAAATTTTTTTTACACAGAGAGTTGTTGCGGTCTGGAATGCACTGCCTGAACGGATGGTGGAAACAGATTCAATAAAAAAGAAAAAATTGCAAGGATAAGGGCAAAGAGCAGGTGGGGGTTGGTGGGACTGTTTAGATAGCTCTTCCAAAGAGCCAGCACAGGCACGATGGGCCGAATGGCCTCCTTCTGTGCTGTAATATTCTTTGATTCTATTATTCTGTTCTAAGTTCTTGTAGGGGATCTATCACCTACATGCTCCTTGTTGTAATTACTTTACCCTGGAAATAAAAAAAAAAGCATACAATGCAGTACTACCTCTTGTGCTGGTTTAGGTAGTGGATACTCCAGGTATCTTGGATCACCCTTTGGAAGAACGGAATACCATCGAGATGCAGGCTATCACCGCATTGGCGCATCTCCGTGCCGCTGTTCTGTATATGATGGATGTCTCTGAGCAATGTGGCCACACCGTGGAGGAACAGCTGGAACTCTTCAACAACATCAGACCACTTTTTGCTAACAAGGTGGGGTCTTTATTTCGCAATGATTTATTTTGCGATGATAACCTTCAGTTAAGCTGTAACAACCTCGACTGCCATTGGGAAATAGCTTTTAAGTATTTTGTATGTTAGCCTTCCAGCATTCAGTCCGGCCTTACACATAAAGATAAATGTGTGTTTAGGTGATTGATTGGGACACCACGTGCATTGATGCCTTTGGGGACGATTGGAAGGGTGAGGTTAAATGGTGACAGAAATCTTGCAGTGATGGGAACAGCAAGCTTTGGTTTCATTGCCTTTGATAGGAGGCAGAGCTCAACCTGCATGCACTCGGTCACCTGCTGGTCTTTGATTGAAGATCTGGTCTTCCGCTCAGTTTGGAAGAGCTAACAGGACGATTGCCTCCTTCAATAAATAGCAATAGAAAGCTAATAATCCCTGCATTTGATAACACCAGAATGTCAAAGTTGTTTTCAATGGCGAGTGTTGAAGTGGGTTTCACACAGATGGCACCACATTTGGTTCAAAGCGAGATTTAATGCTGGCCTTTTCCTGATGGCAAACTAAATGCTTGCCCTAACATTAAAACCACAAGTCCAGTCGAAACCCAGCATTAGTAAGGACATGATTTAGCACTCTGCTGCTAATTCCTATGGAATGCCACAATTATAAGTAAATAAATAAATGTGATTATGTTAACCTAATCCATAATTCATTTGCTACATCTGTACTGAATACAAACAAAGCTAAAAATCAATATATTAAGTGGCATTACAACAAACAACTTTGCAAATCTGATGGACAATTAAATCTTTGGTAGAAACATTCAAGTGCGGTTCAGTACATAGATTCCACTTCTTCCGAAATCAGTGTCGTTTGCTATGCCACTCATTAATCTGTGCAATTGACAGCCTTGTGTCAAAGCAGTTCCTTTATTCTTTATATTCAGTTTCTTTATTCTTCTTTTGTAAAGAGAATTCCGTTCTCTAATTAAGAGAAGGTGGAAATTCTTGCCAGTTCTTTTAACAATTACTTCTGGTGCGCATATGGCGATTGTGCAAGTAGACGAAGGCTATCTTATTGGAGAATCGTAGCTGATCATTAGTGCATGGACCTGAAGAGCCAAATCAGACAGTTGGTACTCATTCTAACTTTGGAATGTCAAATTACCTTAGTATTGATGCTAAAATAGAAACTCCACATAATTGGGGCCCCCATTATTTTCCATTCGTGGAAAACAGTTCCTCAACTTTCTTTCTGTCTCTCAACTCAGCAGATTACCCACTGCTCGATTCCATAAAGATCGAATCTAGGTCTTTTGATATTGGTTCACACGTTTGTTTATTACATGTTTTAAACTTCACCTCATGAAAGCTGCTATCTTTTGTTCATTCAAATCACTCATGGTTTAAACCCATTTACGTGAAAGATTTGTATGAAAGTGAAAACAACTATGCGAACGTGAAACGTTATCTGATTTTTCTTCTTTGAGACGTCTCGAAGACGTGATAAGGCGCTATATCAAATGCAAGGATTATTATTATTATTAAGCCACAATGTTATTATAGCAAGACACAGTACAGGTGGGTTTTGCACTTCTGTATGGAACACATTCTGTGCAATACAGTGGAATCTCGATTATAATGTTCATTTGTAATATTTTTTTCCCCCTTTTTTGCTTTTCAACAATGTTTGGATAAATGATGGACTTGTAAAATATAATTTTTAGTTTTTTGTAAGAAAGAAATTGGAATGTAATTATAATTTTTTTTTGTCGCAGCCTCTGATTATTGTTGCAAACAAATGTGATGTGAAGAAGATAGATGAACTTTCTGAAGAGCATCAGGTCAGTGTTTTCCAAAATTGGCTGATCAAAGTTGAAAGTTTCAGCATTTACTTATTATTAACTTGGTGCTAAAACACTACTGGAGAGAATTGGATAAAACGTTAAAGGTCTTATCCAACAGTTGGTATCACGCAGGTGCATTTCCTTAATTTATGCTTATTTTTTCGAATAACAAAAACATTTCCTCAATTATTACAGATTGATAATGGAAGGTTTACAGAACAGGAGAGTTTGGCCCATTCTGTCTGGGCTTATGCTGGTTACCTCCACTTAAACTGCCAACTCTAATCCTATTCCCCTGTTCTTGGATCATATCTTTTTAGTATTTTTCCTCGACTGTTTATCAGTATGGGCTCTGTTTCACGAGCCACTTGTGGGAAGTTATTTCACATTCCAACCCTCTTTTGTAAAAACAATTGTTCTTCTCATCTCTTTTGTTGGTCCTCGTGTGAGCTGACTGATAGGTGGATCTTCTCATCTTTATCTGATGTGGTGATCGTGCCCTCTCTGGCCCCTTCCTTGAAAACTTCCAGTTTTCAAGCAACTATAAATGTCAATTCCTGCTTTTTTTTAAAAAAAAAATGTGCTCCTAATACGAATGAGCTCATTTTGGATTAGCAACGTTAGTTCTTGCTTATGGTTCTGAATGTACCTGAGTGTGTATGAGATTCAGGGCAATAATATTTTTATTATTACTTCATCTCCCAAACTGCTTGTTTAAAGTAGTCATTACTACGTGTGTAATTATTGGCAAATTCACTGACCTCATTTTTGGGCAGCAGAGCAGTTCTACAGAGAGTGTATTAGATTTTTCCTAACAGGTGGGAAGAATTAGCCTTGTCTTATTAAATAAAGGGTGGGAAGAAACACTTGCATTGGAATTTGACTTATGATTGACTTCTCTTGCAATTTAGATTTAGAAGGGCTTTTTTGGTGTCATATTTCACTGCCCAATCTGAATTATTTCAATTTTTGAACTATAATAGCAGCTAATCTGTTGTTCCTACAGAAAATCTTTGCAGACTTAACAGCTGATGGAGTCGCAATAAAAGAAACAAGTACTCTGACAGAGGAAGGAGTCATCAAAGTGAAAACCGAGGTATAGTTTTCTAACTAGGTTTAATTCAACCTTGAATTTCAGCCGCAAAGTTTAAATAGTCATTTTACAGTATATTCTGTGAAATGCTTTGAGACGTCTCAATGACATGATGAGGCGCTATAACAAATATAAGAATTACTATTACATAATAATATTTTAGAATAGTATTTGATGTATTGGATTTACTTTTTTTAACGTCTTTGATCCAAAGACTTGCTATCTAATTTTGCTTTGCTGTTAAAGTGGGTTGAGGAGTGACCAAATTACTGCATTTTAACGAAGGATAGAGAATTTAAAAATACAAATGAAGAGTGGTAAAAAAAAGAACTTAATTGCAACAGTTAATCTTCAATTCTTTGCATGATGAGACTTGTCATATTCAAACAACCTGAGTAAACCATCTCCCAATTTATGATGCCATAATGTTTGCCCAAAATGTGACTAACCTTGACCACAGGATAGCATTTCTAAAAGTGTATGACTTCGATATTTTTAAAAAAAAACCTCTTCTTCTTAGGCCTGCGATACATTGCTTATTCATCGCGTCGATTCAAAAATGAAAGGCAAGAAGGTACATGATGTGCTGAACAGACTCCATCTCGCAATCCCATCAAAGAGAGATGACAGGGTAAGTTTAGCGTTGCATTCTCGACATTATGATAAGTCTTCACCTGAAACAGTGAAAAAACAATGTCCGAATTGGCTTGGTTCGGTCGGTTAAGTGACAAAACCTATACGATGGAAACGCTTATGGTTTTGTACTGATAGTAACTTGGACTGAGCAACTTGGAATCCAGATTGACTGCCTTTTTTCACAATGACGAGATTTTGAAGTATTTTAAGTCGTCCTTTCTGCCTGTAATTCAGCTCGAGGAAAATGGATGTCCTCTGACTAAAGCAGTGTTGAGACGTGTCATATTGTCATGTAAAAGCAGTCTAGAAATGTGACAGACAATTCCTCTCTTGCCTTCCACCCCATCTGATTAAATGGCAATGACTATCTTTATCTATCCCCTCCACCCCCCCGCCCCACACACACACATGCGTACGATGCAGTGTTCTTATACTTCATCCAAGTGTGTGTCAGGCCAACCTGGTGGGTCACACTCTCGCTTCTATTCCGGCGGTTGTGGGTTCAAGCCCCACATCGCGACTTTGAAACTCATAGTCGTGGCTTCAGCACACTGCTGCGCGAGTGCTGCTTTTTTTTTTTTTAAGTCTTGTCCTTTGGACGAGACGTTAAACTGAGGCCCCATCCGCCCGTTTGGTTCTCGGGGAATGTTGAAAGTTCCGAAGGCAATATTCGAAAAGAGGGAGCTAATTAATTTCTCCGGAGATCCTGGCTACCGTGGGTAAAATTCACCTTGTTAGGTTGTCGACGATATTGCTTCGTACGTGTTCAGGGAAGCAACCCTCATCGTGAGTGTTTGTGGTGGCTGCTGTGTCACCACTGGACTCCTGCACCTGCCAACTATGTTCCTGTGGCTGGGGTCGGTCGGTGCAGGAAGCCAGAAAACACGTTCCTAATCCACAGTTCACAAGTGGGCTTGCTGATTGTAACGGAGTCGGTCTGTATACGGCCATTTTGCAGACTTGCGCAATGCTGCAACGTCTGGTTAATCTTGCGTTAACATTTTGAAGTTTTGTCTTGGTTTTGCTGGTTTAGGAGAGGACGCCCTACATCCCCGAAGGAGCATCAACACGCAGGAAAATGGAGACTGATGCACCAAAGCGCAAAACGGTTAGTGCAGTTCTGAATGTTTCTTTTTTTTCAAAAAAAGATGAACTAAATCTGTTGAATTATTCATTTTATACGAGTGCATTTCTTTGACAGGAGCGAGATTTGGAATTGGAGCTGGGCGATGATTATGTCCTTGACCTTCAGAGTAAGTAGAGCATATTTTTTATTTTGTGCGAAGCCAACAGTTGCAGCAGCTTTTAAACTGAAGCATTGCCATTAAGGTTCTCAAAAGCAATTTGAAAAGTAAGAAAGAACTTGCAATTTTATAGCACTTTTGTTACAGCGAGACGTCTCCTGAGTGCTTCATGAATATTCTCACGCATAGTGCCTATTTCTGTAGGCATTTGGGACAGCCAAGATCCCACTTAACAGCCAGGAGGTAAATGATCAATTAAGTAGTTACGCTGTCTAAAGAAGTTAATGTACAGTGGCAAAATCTTTCAATTAATTATGAGGGAAAGTGAATTTTTTTTAGAACATGACCGTTAGGAAGAGCAATTGTAGTTATTCTGAAAAATTGGGCAAGGGAGGGTAAAGGAGATTTCTTGCTCGCTCTTGTTCCTATTGCTTTCTCTGAGTTGTAATTTGTGTCCTCTTTTAAGATTTGTGTTATTATTAGGTTTGGTGGAAATCGATAAACACTTGCTACTTGTCATTTTTTCTGATGGTTCTGGAGTCCAATATTAACAGAATATAACAATCCTTATATTTGATATAAGATATTTTCACATCAGGAGGCTGTTCCGATACACTTTGCAGGATATCCTGTGAAGAGTTGCATCTGCATTCTGTAGTGAATGCCTAAATTTTCGTTGATTTAAATTTTGGATTAATTTTTTAACAACAAAAATGACTGCCTTCCAGTTAGGTGGGTTGCCACAGACACGATTTCCTGTGCCTTGTGCACGTGTGGAGGACATGACATGAGTGACAACAAGATTGATTGAAATAAACATTGATTTTATCTATCACAAATGAGAAAAATAAAAATCGATTTCAACTAACCCGAGTTATAATACATTGAGCTTATTTCTCAAATGGGCATTTTGGAGACTGTCTATGTCCACCTATTCATTATAATGCGTTACACGCGTCCAGTGGCTCCACATCTCAAAAACAAACTACCAATGGGATTTTACCAAATGTGACTTGGTAACTCGTTTGCCTGGCTCGGCACTTGTTTTGAAAAGGAATAAACAATGACGTAAAGCTCCCAACGTACTGATACCTTCATGGGAGCAAATGACCCTGGTGTTCGGTTGCTTCTCCACAATGTTTCCCACAACGATCCTCCCTCGGCAGCTCCATATTGCATTGTTGGAAGGATGATATCAAATGAGCTGAAATGTCTTATTTACTTGTTTCTCTCTTTTGTTTTACATAGTTATACATTATTGGCCCACTCTTTAAATAAAATACATTTGTCAGCGAGGCTCTGTTCGTAGCACTCTTGCTTCTGAGTCAAGAGAGTTGTGGGTTCAAGTCCTATCTTGGGAAGTTGAGTTTATAGATTAAAGCAACACTCCAGTGCAATGCTGGGGGAGTGTTGAGTTGTCCGACGCGCTGTCTTTCCGACGAGGCATTAGACTGGGTTCCATCTGCCTGTCCAGGTGAACTTTAAAGATCCTATGAAGCTGTTCAAAAAAGGATAGGTTTTCCTGGTGTGGTGGCCAGCAATCGTCAACATGAAACTGATCATCCACTTTGTAACACTGCTGTACTCAAATTGGCCGCTGCAAATGGAATTTTACATTTCAATAAGAACATAAGAAATGCGAGACGAAAAAAGACCAAGCTCCCCATCTAGTTCGCCTCCCACCTTCCTGGCGGAAGGTGCACTACCCACGTACGATACCCCGTAATGTTGTTTCCTAAAAGAAAACTATCGAATCTGTGTTTGAAAGAATCAACACCTCCTGCTCCAGCCGTCTGTCTCCCCAGGGAGCCTGTTCCACAGGTTCTCTATTCGCTCACTGAAATAGTGTTTGCGTAGATTGGTTCTGAATTTCCCCCCACTTCAATCGCAGGCCGTGTCCTCTGGTTTTACTATTCTGGACAAGTTGAAACAGCCTCTCATGATCTATATTGTCTTGCCACGTTAGAATCTTACAGACAGCAATCACGTCGCCTCTCAGTCTTCTCCTTTCCACCGTGAACACGTCCAATACTTACCTATGAATTGCTTTGAGTCATTTCAACACTTAAGTTCTGTAACAAGAATGATAACTAGTATTGTGAATGTTGACCGCCAATGTGTTGGCTCTCCAAGGCGTTACCCCGGGTGAAGGGCTCGAGATTAAATGCGAGTTGCTGTGATAAAATTCAGAAGCAAATGATATGTTATTTTCATTAATGGGTTTCTTAAATTTAGGGACATTATTTTCCTTTGGGTTTCTTACATTGTAAAATAATAATAAATAATAATCCTTGCATTCGATATAGCGCTTTTCACGTCTTCTCGACGTCTCAAAGCGCTTCACAGAATAGACTGTCAAGTGAATTGACCGTATATTTGTAGGAGAAACGCGGCAGCCAATTGCGCACAGCGGCGTCCCCACAAACAGTCGGTCATGTAAAGTGTGATGTCAGTATTGGGAGATGAAAGAATTTTCTATTCTGAGGTTTTTTTTAAAAAAAAGATTTGATTTAACACGTGCTACCTTTTATATGCTTGTTGTGATTTTCATTAACCCATTGTTTCTTCATTCTCTCAGAATATTGGGATTTGATGAATGAATTCGAGAAGCAAGATAGGATTCCAGAAATATGGGAAGGTCACAATGTAGCTGACTACATTGACCCTCTCATTATGAAGGTGAGTTGCACATAGTTTGTAACGTTGTGATGGATTAGTTTTGTTTTTGAAGTTGAAAATCAACAAGGGACTAGCGGTAATTATAAAGTGGCAAACCTTTTGTAGTTTGGATAAATTTATAGTGATTGGAGAATATTTCACAATATAATCCTTGCATTTGATATAGCGCAATTCATGTCGGGAGGACGTCCCAAAGCACTTCACAGAACACACTGTAAAGTGAATTGACTATATTTGTGGGCGAACGCGGCAGCCAATTGCGCACAGCAATGTCCCACAAACAGTCGTAGATTGAAAATGACCAATTTATTATTGTTTTTGGTTTTGGAGGGATTATTATTAGGCTCTGTGTGGAGTAAGGAAACTTGCCCAAGGTTTCGCCCTCTGCCTGGAATTGAACTCAGGTCTCTCACTTGCAAAGCGAGTGCTCTAACCACTGAGCTACAGGACTCCACGAAGAAGAAATATAGAAGTATTTGCCTTCCAGATTTTAGTTTGGACTGAATCTGCTGTCCTTTAGTAGTTCATTGATAAAGGCCTGAATTCAGGACAATAGTTGTGTGATTTTTGACTGCAAGACATTTCTTTTTTTTCCTCTTCTTGTCACCAAAGCAATTATCAAACTTTCTAAATGCCCTTTTCAGAAACTTCAAGAGCTGGAAAAAGAAGAAGGACTCAAGGAAGCTGCTGGTGAATACGATTCCGATTCTGAGAGCGATGACGACGAGATGAAAGACATCCGGAAGTTGGCCAGTAAGATCAGAGAGAAGAAGAAAATGCGAATTCTGCTTTCCAGAGAGAAACAAACTAAGAAGGGTCCCAAAATGCCCAGAACTGCTAAAAAGGCAAGTTCACGTGTATTTTAACTCTAAAATGCTGGCTTATTGAAGCCATGGGATTTGCTTTCATCATTTTCTTTTTTTTAAAATTCCGTCTGTGAATTATTACATGTAGTTTCCCACCTTGAAGCGACTTCTACATTGATTCCAAATGACCTTATGATACAAATCTTCCTTCTTGGTGGAAACCTTCTGATTAATCAGCTGCAAATATACACGTGTGTGTGTTTTAAAGGCCAAACACATAATTTCAGACTTAGTCCTTTTGCGGTCAGACAAATAGAGCACAGGACACACAGAATGTAACCTACTCTGTGAAGACTTAAACCCATTTGAAATGTTTCTACTGTGGCACTTCGTGTGTGAGATCACAAATTTTGTATCAGAATTATTGTCTAGATTCATACTGGAGATCGGAGGACCGTGCTATAGCGCACAGAACATCCCTCTGACCCATAAACATTCACTTCCCAACAGAAGACCGATTGATATTAATCCCTAGAATGAATGAGATGGGATCGGGGAGGACAACGTTTTTTTTTAAACTTCCAATGAATGATTTTCTGTCATTAAAATATCACCGAAAAATATCCCTTTATAATGTTTAATTATTTTCACAGGTTGAACGAAAAACGTTGGAGAAGGAGATGAGTTCTCTTGGTCTGGATATGGAAAGTAAAGATGAAGTAAGTTTTTTTTTTTGGTTGGTTGGTTTCTTTTCAGAAAATAGTGGCTTACAAAGGTTAAACCGTTCATTTCAAAAGCAGGGATGTGGGGGCTACGCTTTGTATGAGAGTCCCCATAGCAGTGTCCTTGTATACCATATGGGTTCTCCATCACATTGATGACTCCAATTAGTAAATTAAGATATGAATTATATCTTAATATTAAGACTAATAAATAGTCATCTGCTTATAAATACTCTGGCATCTATTTATTAATTGGATATTGAATCTAAAAGCAAGTATACCATGTCATTCATATATATTTATATATTATATATATATAATGGGAAGGAAAGCAACAAAAATAGAGGGGTATAGAAGAGGGGATCCGGAGCAGTGGAGATTTGAGTAGATTTGGTGGGATCATTCAAAGGGGAACTGAACTGAACTTGAAAAGTAAAAATATTAAGTCATTTAGGAAAAATAGCTGGAAAATAGGATTAATAAAAAGGATAACCGGTAGCAATTGACAATGGTCTTCTGTGCTGAAGATTCCTTGGTCTCTTTCTGCAGTGAATCTTTTGAAACACTTGGATGTATTGGGTCAGTCGCAATTTTGCCTCACAGCCATTGATAAACGGAATGGGTAAACTGAAAATGTTCTTGAGGCAATCCATATTGCATCTTTTAAATGGACCCCATTTTAAGTCCAATGCTTGCTTTTCTGTGTTGGGAGATGAATGTTAAAAGAAGTAAATCTCCTTGGTTGGGGACGTTTCTCACATTGGTTGTCTTTGGGCTGTTAATGTTCGACTTCGGAAATATCTTATGCACACCGACCGGTATTGTATTAATACTTTAAAGTGTTTTCACTTTTATTTGCACATTTAATTTTTTTTCCTCATCGTTCGGAGGTAAAATAATAGTGATATCAGAAGTGTATTAACAATGTAGTTTGCTGTGTGTTATGTAACCGCTGTTTGACCGCTGCACTCTTGTCTAGACACACTATGCACAGCTGGCTAGACGATCGAGGAGTATCACCAGAAAGCGTAAACGTGACGAATCTCAGCCGCCAACCTCGGTAACACGCAGTCGCAGCAATTCCCGCACGCCGCGTGATCTTTCTGGCGTGCGCGACGAGAAGGTTTGTTTCCCACCTTTAACTTTACAGTTAAAGTTCACGTTTTGCAGTGCAATTCGTCGCTTTGTTTTTGAACGCTGCGCCGTTAATGAACCTCAGGTGATTAGATCGATTTGAGAATAAAGGCCACAACCGAACGTTTGCTAAACTTGTTCTGGAGCTGTTAACCTTATGCTGCGATCCTCACTGTAGAATAACCGTGAACTCAATTTAACTACCTTGTCGTGGAGCTTGAACCTGCCCTCGCCTGCCTACGCACATTCACGTTCCACTGAGGTCAAGTAGGGACCGTGACTTAATTTTTGCCCCCACCCCCCCCTCTCTTTTCTCAGCGCAGATCAACAAACTCATGACAGCCCGAGCAGCCTGAGATCTTACCGTTCTGTATGGCTCATAGTTTTATAATCGTCTACGGCTTTACCAGCCATGAAATGTTTCTCAAGCGACATTGCTGCCTCATACAGACAAAGCGAGATTACTGGTTCATCTCAATTGTTGTGTTAAGCTTTGCTTACGGGAACACTCTCGCCGTGGGTCAGAAGACTGTGGGTTCCAGCCCCACATCAGGGCTTGAGCTCGTAGTCTATGCTGACACTCCGGTGCTTTACCAGAGGAGTGCTGCATTGTCAGAAATTGTCGGCTTTTGGATGAAGATCCCATTTGCTTGTTTCGCTCGGCATTAAAGATACCGTTACACTATTTGAAGAGAGAAGCATGTTTCTTCCAGTGTTCTGGCCATCAATCCTCCAGATAAACTGGTCCAGGTGATTCTTACCTCTGAGGGACACGGCTTTCTGTTTTGCAATGGTCTGCATTGTATTGGAATGAAATTCCAATTATTTTTCCCCATAGTTTTGCCTTCTTAGAACATTACATTCCTTTTTATTAAAAATAATACTTTTTTCCCCCCGTCTAGATGTTGAAAAAGGTTAAGAGGATGATGAAGAACTCCCAGCAGGGTATGAATCGTCTGGGCAAGAAGGGAGAGGCTGACAGACACGTTTTCGATCTTAAACCAAAGCATCTCTTTGCTGGCAAGAGCAAGATGGGTAAAAAGGATAGAAGATAAATAATATATGGTACTCCAGGTTACGGGACTTCTTTAATTGTAATCCATCATGAAAAATAATTGAAGAGTTTCGGAATATCCTGTGATTAAAATGACAAAATGTTATCGCGTTGTTGAGTCTGGGTCCTAAATACAAAAGATAATTCATTGCCTGGATAAGTTTATGTCTTCCAGGATTTTAAAAGGCCATTTGAAAGTGTGCATTGCAGTTTTACGGGAGCTTTGGGTAGAATCTTGATGTGAAAAAGTGCCTAATGCTACCGAGTATTCCCTTGACAGCCATTTGATATTTTCGACACTGCCTTCGGACAACTTGAATGCAATGTGCAATGATTTCAGGTTCCTTCTGTGTTCAGTGAACGAACACAGCTTTTACACTTGTTTGCCAGGTGCACGTCGCGACAATTTTTATAATTAGATAATTTGCCAAGTTATATATCCTTCACAGGTTGTTCCGGGTTACAATTTAAATTTTGTTTAAATGTTACATTTGCAAAGTCTTCATAACTCGACCCTGGCTTAACTTGCCACTACCACTGAAGTGGCCGTGCTGTCAAATATCCCTCCACTTTACTTGTCGCTCTGCTAACTCGTCACGCTCTAGAAATTCTTAAGTACTTGCAAAATTGATCGGATAACCCGTCCTATAAGGTGGCGTCTTGCAGAAGCCTCCAGCCCTATCCTGTGACGGCATAGGATGGAAGATTATCCAGAGTTTACTGGACATTTGCCTTTCTTTTGTCATTGTCTTTCTATCATTTCCTCCTCCTAATGTCTTTCAGACGTGCAGTGCAACACTTTGTATTTTAATAAGCAAACTGATGGAAAGAATGTTCTACTTTTGGTTTAAATTGAACAATTTTTGAAAAACATTGTGAAATATCATCCGACTCTTACAAGAAAGCACAATCCATATGAAAAATAATTTGTGTTTTCACCATCAGATGGAATATTTAGTGAATTGACTAAATTGTGTGATTACTGGAGAAAGACCATGTGGCCGCTTAAGAGCTTTGTATCGATGTTGCAGTTGGGGGCCTGTAAAATGGCACTTCATTATAAAGCAATTTTATTTCTAACGTGGGTAGGTTATGCATTCTTGACATTTTCCTTCCGAAACGTGCAATAAACATCCTGAAAACTCGCACCATTGCAACTCTGCCACCTCGGTTCAACTCTGGTTGGGATTCAAACAATGCAGCTAGCTGGCTATCGTGTTATAAGCCTGGTTGCAATTTTATGGACTACCAAAACTATGACTAAATAAGTGGGATTTATGGCATATACTAACTCTGGAGTTCCTAGCTACGTGACTGGCTTGACTCGCATTTGACATATTCCGGAATACTTCCTTTTGTCATTATTCATAAACCCCTCTTCCCAGGAACTAGTTTGTGATATCAAATTTTTTATTTCTTTCAACAAAGGTAAACTGGCATCAAAACCACAAAAACATTTGTGGAGGACCACACTGGCGGACTTTCAAAAATTTCAATTAATAAGTTTTAATATACTATACAGGACATGTCTCCATATGTCAAAAGGCATTATTGAATCAACAACAAAATTACATTTGTATAGCGCCTTTCACGTCAGGAGGACATCCCAAGGCCTGGACAGACAGGGTTTCAGACCTGAGCCGAGGGTCAGGGTGGGGGAGGATGCAGGGAGATCGAAAGCATGTTGGAAGAGGAGGGTCTTGAAGGTGGCGTAGGAAGAGGGCGAGACGGAGGGACTGCAGGATGGAGTTCCAAAGAGTGGGTGCAGAGTGGCAGAAGGCCTACCCACCGATAGTGGGGGTCGTGAAGCAGGCCAGAGCCCGCTGCGCGGAGGGAGCGAACAGGATGGTAGGGAGTTAGCAAGACCATGGAGGACTTTGAAGGTGAGGACCAGTAATTGACACTTTCTTCATAGCATTTTGATTTCAACTTAACATTTTGATATAGACAAGACATTGTTTTTTTTTCTTCTACCTTGGTGTTAATCACAAGAAATTGGTGCCCATTAAAAAGTAAAGCCTGGATTTGAACACACCACACAGGTATCTGGATCCAGTAAAAGTTTTTAAAAAGGTGAGTTTCAGACGAGGCTGTTAATGAACATCGACTGCTACTTAGATTTCTGCTTAATACTTCAATTAAGGTGCGCTGAAAACATTACATCCGGTATATTTTTTCGTGATTTATGAACTTTTTTAGATTGTGAAGGTTGTCCCACCATGTGAAAAGAAAGGTATCTGCAATTAGTTTGAACCATGGTGTGATCTTGACTTGGTTGTTATCTGCCTTTTTGAGCAGGTCCTTCAGTTCCTCCTTAGTTACATAGCAGTGGCTTTTGATCTCATTGGGATCGGGGCTCAAAGTAACATCTTTCTGCATGAAGATTATGTAATCAATTTCATGTTCTCCCCAGATCCCATCAGACTGAGCCTTGTAGTGAATCCGGGTTAGGTATTTCATCTCTTCAGGGGGGACCTTGGGTCAAACGTAGACAGAATGTTAATATAAATCATACTTACATTTGATATAGTCTTACCATGTTGGTGAGATGTCTCAAAGAGCTTCACAGAATATAATGTAAAGTGAATCGATTGTATATTTTGTGGGTGAAAGTTTGCAGGGCTGTGGGGAGAGAGCGAGGGAGTGGGATTGAATTGGATAGCTTTTTTCAAAGAGCCGGCACAGACACGGTGAGCCGAATGGCCTCCTCCTGTGCTGTATTATTCTACGATAAAGGAAACAAAGGCATCTAAAATGAGAATATTGGCCCAAGAATTGCCCTACACCACCAAATTGTGTCCAGTAATTATTACTTCACAAAACATAGCAATTGTAATAATCTATTTACTGTCAGCCTGGCTCAGCTGGTCGCACCCTCACTTTGGAATCGGAAGTGTGGGGGTTCAAGCCCCATGTCGGAACTTTGAACTCGGATCTAGGTTGACTCTCCAATGCACTGCCGGGGGTGTCCTGCATTGTTGGAGGTGTCATCCTTTGGACCAGGCGATAAAAACTGAGGTCCCGCCTGCCTGCTTGGGTGGACGTTAAGGTGCCATTGCATTATTTGAACAGAAAAGGGAGTTTCTGCGTTCTGGCCAACAGTTACTGAGATAACATCAGTTGCACCTTTGAGGCTTCATCTGAGATGATGCTTTGTGCAAACTGGCTGCCACATTCGCCTAAAATAGATGTAAAAAGGTGTGGCGTCAAATAGAATCCCAATTCAGTTTTGAAGTCATACTGAAAACAGAGCAGGGGTTTAAAATAACAATCCTTGCATTTGTTATGGCACCTCACATGGATCAATGTCTCGACTGCTTCACTTGATTTTACTGTAGTGGCTGTTATTGTTGACAGACAAAAGGCACTATATAAATGCAATCTCTGTAGCAGTAGGCAAACAAGCACCGTAGGAACATTTACAAATGAATTGGAAAATCTTGGTTCATTATTTACAAGCGTTTCCAAGTTAGTTTCTAATATGTTTTTTCCAGCCTCGCACACCAATACAATATACATCTATATAGCACCTATCACGTCAGGAGAAAAGCACTCAACAATGCTGGATGGGGTGTGGTGGGAAAGATGCCTGAAAGCACAAACAGGTATGTTTTGACATGTCTTAAAGGAGGAAGGGAGCAAATCGGGAGACACACTGGGATGGAAAGCCTGGCTACTGATGGTGGCTGGGGTGAGTTTGGCAGGGAACATAAAACAAAATGGTGTAAAATGGTTCGCAACATTGCTTACCTGCTGCACAGGTATTCCAAACTCCTCTTTTAACCGCCGTTGAGCTGCTCGTCTTACACCAACAGCATCTTTCTCCTCGACTTCCGTGGGATTGCTGAGAGGGTGGCTGCAGCATGTGTTTGTGAAACAGCCTGAAAGAAAATTAAAGTGCAATTGATCCAGATGCACCTTTACGCTCTGCCTGAAGCCATCTCTCCTCCAGGTCAGCAGTCGGCCTGCTTCTCTATCTCCTCACTCCCAAGGCAGAGACTTCAGTTGCCATATAGCACCACTCAGTTTGGTAATTGAATGGGGTGGGGGGGGCAAAGAGGGCTGGCAAGACAGATGGAACTCTTGCCAGCCCAGTAATGTATTGTACATCTCACGCATATATGGTTAACACCCTAGGGTCAAAATGTAATTGTAAAAGCCAATATAATTAATGACAATTTCGCGTTGGAGGGCATCCCAAACCGTTTCGTAAATTAATGTTTGCAACGCTAACCAAATAACACGACCGTTTAAGGACAACCCAAAGAATCAAGGTTGAAAACATCACATTGTTTTGCCTTGCGGATCAAGCGTTTACACTGTACCTGGGAAAGTGATCTTGGCATCAGATCTCTGTTGCAGCAAAAGTCTACCCTCGGTGTTGAAGATGAAGACGCTGAACGCTCTGTGCAGCAAACCTAGGAGATCATATTGAACGACCCAATCAGTTATTCTTTTCCCACTCACCACAACCACGGCACACAGTTGACTGAACAGCCTCACGTTTGGTGGAATGACGGGGACAAAAAGGTGGGAGTGTGATTGCTTGGAGGATTAAAAAATAAAATTCGGTGCAAAATAATTAACCCAGGAGCTGACTCGATCTCTAAATATTTTGAACAAGATGGTTTTGAAGCTGTCGTCTATTGTAATAATGCTTTGCATTTGACATAGTGCCTTATCACGTCTTCGAGACGTCTCAAAGCGCTTCACAGAATATACTGTAAAGTGAACTGACTATGTTTTGTGGGCGAAATTGCAATGAGTGCAAATCAAATCCGATTTATGTAGTATTGCTAGCCACTGGCTGCTAGCATAAGCGCACACCAGCTGTCTCCGCAGAATTTGGAACGCAAACAAGAGTGTCAGATTAGTAAACTCTTCGGCGAATCCCAAATGCGTGTTCGAGCATGGCACACTCGAGATCAAAAATAAGTTCATTAACCTTTACTAATGTTTTCGTTAAGATGGCAGTTTTTCTTCGTGTCTGCCCCGATCCTTTTGTCATCTTGGTCAATGAGGATACACATTTCAGCCAGTAACTGGACCTGCTTTTCATCCAGGTCCTGCGTGTTTATCTCCGGCATTGCTGCTGCTGCGCTCGTATTTCTTCCAAAAAATCTGGAGGGAGGAAATACATTTGGTTTATTGCGCACAGCACTGTTGATTCTCCATTTTGGGGGAGAAATTTTCGGACAGTGCAATTTTTAAATTGGATCTGAGATTTCACTGACAAACAGAATTGCAAGTACTTGGTATAAAGCTTTTTTTTTTTTAAAAAAAAAATCACTTGCAATCCAGCCACACGTTTACCGCGAGCAGATCACACGGCACTACTGCCCACAGTACCGATGGTCTTACACTTTGGGGTGAGAAAAATCTGGGCATTTCTATTCTGAAACTAGATTGGGATTTCATCGGCCCAACAGATTTATACCCTAATACTACTCGGCCAATGTATTCATGTTCAACTACAACAACTTGGGATTTATGCAGCGGCCTCCGCCCCGGACGGCGTCTCAGAGCGCTTCACAGGAACGGATCCCGGGGCCGAGCCAGCGGGGAGAGGAAGGTGAACCAAAGGCGCGGTCGAAAAGAAAGGTCTTCAGAAGGGACCCGAAGGTAGGAAGAGAGGGTTCGAGGCGAAGGGAGCGAGGAAGGGAATTCCAACGTTCCCGGTGTAATGTTGGGCTCGTGTGACCCTTTGGCTCCCGATTATTCTGAAACGTAAATCAGGCACTGACACGACCGTCTGTGCTCATTCATTGTCGCTGTAAACACACCGATCCGATTGGAAAACCTGTCGATGACAGATTACGCTTTGGTGTTTTTTTTTTAAAAAAAAAAGAAAAAAAAGTGACCGAAAAAAAAAAAGTCACGGCCGCGACGACAAATCGCAGGGCTGTCGCGTCTCTCACGTCGGGGGGAGGGGACCGTCCCAGGGCACCGGACGGCGGTCAGGGATCAGCGCCCGAGCGGTCCGTTGGGATCAGGAGGGGTGGAGGGTGACCGAAAGCACTGTCGAGGAGAGGGGGTCTCGGGAACGGAAAGGGGGCAAAGGAGGGACCGTGGGATGGAATTCCAGAGGGTGGGTGGGGGGGGGGGGGGGAAAGTCCCAAGGCGGGGGGTGGGGGGTGGGGGTGGCAATGGGGGTCACGGGGTTTGGTGCGGGAGAGGACACGGGCTACAGAGTTCCGGATGACCCGCAGCCCTGTGGAGGGAGGAGTTGGGGGGTTGACAAGCGGCGAGAGGGCTGCACTTACCCTGTGCGGGGCCGGGGTCGGGGTGGCGGTGCGGGGCCGGGGAGGGGCTGCACTTACCCTGTGCGGGGTCGGGGTCGCGGTGCGGGATGGGGTCGGGGCCGCAGTGCGGAGCCGCTCCTCAGCACCAGGTGCCGCAACATGGTTACATACCGCCTCAGCCAATCAGCTCACAGCTGCCGCCGGACCCGCCCCACCGCGCGTCACCTTCCGATCACACAGCCAATCAGCGCCGCGGCTCTGCCTCAGCCCCATCACACCAGGACCGGGGGGGGACACCCCCACACACAGAGAGACACACCCCCACACACAGAGAGAGACACACCCCCACACACAGAGAGAGACACACCCCCACACACACAGAGAGAGACACCCCCACACACACAGAGAGAGACACACCCCCACACACAGAGAGACACACCCCCACACACAGAGAGAGACACACCCACACACAGAGAGAGACACCCCCACACACAGAGAGAGACCCCCCCACACACAGAGAGAGAGACACACCCACACACAGAGAGAGACACCCCCACACACACAGAGACACCCCCACACACAGAGACACCCCACACACACAGAGACACCCCCACACACAGAGACACACCCCCACACACACAGAGAGACACACCCCCACACACAGAGAGACACACCCCCACACACAGAGAGACACACCCCCACACAGACAGAGAGAGAGAGAGAGTGTATCAGTCTCTCACAGAGTCACACAGTGAGAGGGCAGAGTTTCCCAGTGCGTCACAGAGTGAGAGGGAAGAAAGTTAAGAGACACCGCAGTGTGTGTGTGTGAGGAGAGAATCGGAGTGAGTGAGTGACAGAGAGAGAGAGAGAGAAAAAGCCACGTTTCCCTCCACAATAAAACGCTGCTGCATTTTGACGCGTTCGCTTTGCAGAGAGAGAGGAGTAGAGTCCCCTTTTGCTTTTGTGGATGTGCCGAGTTTGCACTCGGCAGAGGCCGCGCCCCTCGACCCCTCCACCCCCGACCCTGACCCCGCAGCTGCCAATCAATCAACCAACCAACCAATCAGTCAGTGAGCGCGGCCCGCGGGCCAGGCTGAGCCGCAACAACGTTTGGAACGCCGTGTCGCGAGTTGAACAATGGACGGTGGCGCCTTTGATCGTTTGCACCATCAGCGCCTGCGCCGCTCTCTCTGTGACGTCACCGCTCATTCACTGCCCCCACCCCCCCTTCGGTCGTTTGCACCAACAGCGGCTGCGCCGCTCTGTTTGTGACGTCACCGCTCATTCACTGCCCCCACCCCCCCTTCGGTCGTTTGCACCAACAGCGGCTGCGCCGCTCTGTTTGTGACGTCACCGCTCATTCACTGCCCCCCACCCCCTTCGGTCGTTTGCAGCATCAGCGCCTGCGCCGCTCTCTTTGTGACGTCATCGCTCATTCACTTCCCCCTCTTCGGTCGTTTGCACCAACAGCGGCTGCGCGCGCTCTTTGTGACGTCACCGCTCATTCACTGCCCCCCCCCCCTTCGGTCGTTTGCACCAACAGCGGCTGCGCCGCTCTCTTTGTGACGTCACCGCTTTGCCGACCCCTCTGACCCCTTTCATGGTTCCCACGCTGACCCCACCCCCTCCCTCCCTCCTTCCCCCCTCCCTCTCACTCACTCACTCACTCTCACTCTGTGTCTGTGTCCAGCCCACCAGCCAACCTATCCGCGTGACCACTTGCACGCGGTCCCTCGCGCGTCACAACCCGGCCCGCCCGCCCGCCCGCCGCCTCCCGGGCACAGCGCTCCCGCTCCGCCGCGCTGCCATGTGCCGCAGCAACTCACTACATTGGGCTTTTTGTTCTGCAAAAAAACAAAAACACGTGCTGATGTAAAGACGATTTTTTTTTAATCACCGCGGACCAGCTCACTTCTCTATTTGCGGTCACGCCACTTTCCACAAGGCTTGACAGTATATTCTTCCGTGGAGCACTTTGAGATATCTCGAAGACGCGATAAAGCTCTTGTATCAAAATGCAAGGATTATTATTACTTCTCGCTCATTCTTTACGTGACGTTAATCGTCGGCAAGTACGTCATAGAAACTCCCTCCCATCCCAATTAAGGACATTATCCCTTTTCAATCTTTGCTCCTTGGGTCAAGTGACTTTCCCTCAGTTCTGCCAATGCCCACCTCCTTGGGAGGAGGTAAGAGGGGTCTCCTTGCAGGTGAACTGGCTCTAAGGAGCCAAACGTTTGGTGGTCTCGATATTCCATTTCCTGAGCCAGGTGGGTCCGCAGAATTCTAAGGAACTGCTGATGGCTAGACATGGAAGGCCAGGCCAGGCACTGGGGGCAAGGACTCTTCACACTCAGCTCCTGTTACCCCTGCCTGCCAAAGCCCCAATGGTAGTGTAGTCCTAGCAGGACAAGCAGCGGGAAAGCTTGCCAGACAGTGCTCTGAATGGCAAGCTACGTGGTTTTAACTGGTTAGACTCCAGTAGTTACCCCACCGCAGACTCTGGGGTCCCCAAGCCTTGGCTCTTGCCAGCCAGCACCTAATACTCACCGGAATTAGGTAAGCAGGACCCGTCCTCCAAGGAGAGCGTGCGCATTCCATTCCGGCAATCTATCTCTGGAATTTCCACGTGCAGGTCTTCGACCATACCATCGGCCACACCCTTTCCCACCCCACCCCACCACCACCACCCAACCCCAGCTCGGGTCTGAAATGCTGCACTCTGTCCAGCGCCTTGGGACGTCCCCCCCGACGTGAAAGGGCGCCGCACAAGTGTAATCTTGGTGTTGTTGTTGGGATGCACGGAACTCTTAGATGTGGTGAAGGGTTTCCGCACGTCTCTGTCGGACGCGAGGGGGGGGTGAACCCGAACAAATTACGCTGTGCTTCCGCTGACCGAAAAGTGCCCGGGGGGGGGGGGGGGGGGTGGGGGGGGAATGGAACCCACTCAGGCCCCTGTCAGATGTCAAATGATAAAACAAGTCAGGGTGAGGGTGGAGGCGGGGCTAGGGGGAGGGCTGGGGGCGGGGCTAAGGGCTGGGGCGGGACCAGGGCTTGGGGGCGGGACTAGGGTCTGGGGCGGGGCTGGAGGCGGGACTGGGGGCGTGGGGCGTGGCTTCTCCCTACCTTCTCCCTTTGTTGCGACGACGCGCGCGGGACGGGGCCTGGTGGGGCGGGGCTTCTCCCTTCCCCCCACCCACACTTTCTGTCTCCCTTTGTCGCGATGACGCACGCACGCACGCACCCACCCGTTCTCCCAGCGCCACGCGTCACAGGCTCACTCCGGCCGCCCGCTGGATTGTGGGGGAGGGAGGGAGGGAGCCACGCGCCAGCGGCCGGGGCGGGGCGTCAGTTTTACCCACGCGGACCGCGTGTGACGGCGGCCGCGCCCCCTTTGTCCACGTCAGTCACTCGGGGCAACGGCAATCGCTCGCGCGGCCCGGCCTCGCGCACACACGCGCGCGGCGGACATTTTTTTTTGCGGCCGTGTCCCCAAAAAAAAACCCCACCCCTCCCCACCCCTTCCTCCTCTCCCGGCCCCACCCTCTTCCCCCCCCCCCGCCTCACCTCATCTTCACTGCACTGCACCTCAGCGTCGTCCTCGTCCCCCCTTTTTTTTTCTCCACCCCCCCCCACCCCCTTTAGCTCAGTCAGCGACGACGAAAAATATCTTCCAAAGGCCCACCCGCCCCCGAACCATCACCACCGCCACCACCACCGCCATTTTTGTTTCAGTCGCGGGTGGTGGGGTTGTGGTGGTGGTGGGGGGGGGGGAAGAGAGGAGGGAGAGAAGGAGGAGGGATTTGGTCACCTCAGAGAGGGGAGGGGGAGGTGAGGTGAGGGGGGAGGTGAGGGAGTGGGGTGTGGTGGGGGGTGGGGTCGGCCGGGCCGGGAGGCCATGAGCGGAGGAGGGCGATGGTGACGGCGACCATGAGGAGGGGATCCGTCGCGGCCGCCTGGCTCCTGGCCTGCCTGCTGGCCGCCTCGGGCGGCGAGGCCAAGAAGACGTTCGTGGTGCTGCACCAGAGCAACTCGACGCCGGCCGCCTGCCCGGCCGTGTGCCGCTGCTACATCAACATCCTGTCGTGCCACCCCGAGAAGCCGCTGGGCTCGCACGTGCACGACAGCAAGGGGGACCGGGCCGGGGCCGGGGCCGGCCAGCCGCCCCCGAGCAAGCAGCACGGCAAGTCGCAGCGCAACGACACGCAGTCCAACGCCACGGGCTCCGCGATGCTGACCCGCATCCCCGAGGGACCCAGGGGCACCATGCTGGGCAACGTGTTGACGGCCTTCACTGTGTTGTACGTTTGCGTTGCCTTTTACGCACGCGCGTGTACATGGCTATGCATATATGTGTGTGTGTGTGTGTATACGTATAAGTATTAATAGATCTGTTTCCCCCCCACTCTCCCACAAATGGTGACTGTATTATCTTGTAAACCAAATCCTGGCACATATATATATATATGTAATACAATGTATAATAATAATCTTTGCAAAACGCAAAATACTGCAGATGCTGGAAATCTGGAACGAAAACAAAAAAAAGTGGCTGGGGGACACTCGCCGGTCAGGCAGCGTCTATGGAGAAAGGAAAGCGAGTCAACGTTTCGGGTCCTCGACTCTTCGTCAGGAGAGTTTGTGGACCCGAAACGTTGACTCGTTTTCTCCATAGATCGATCCTGCCTGACCTGATAGTAATCCTTGCAATTTGATACAGAGCCTCATCACGTCTTCGAGACGTCTCAAAGCGCTTCACGGAATATACCGTAAAGTGCAGTGACTGTGTACTCTGGGTGAAACACAGCAGCCGATTGCGCTCAGCCAATTTGAAACATGAAAACATGAACGACAACAACTTGCATTTATATAGCTAAACCCACTCCACCCCACTTGCCCCATAACCCAGAAAATTACTGAACTCAAGACAGGGCAGATTTGATCAGGGACACAATACCTCAACCTGGACCGGAAATCGGGGACAGGTCAAAACTCCCCAACCAATGAACAACCCTTTGGTCGTGTTTCCACCCCACCTCTCCCCAACCTGCCCCCCCCCAGCTCGGGTACCATGCTAGAATTGTCAAGGGTCTCCTAACGTAAAAGGCGTTATAAAAATGTAAATTTGTATTGTAAGAAATACAATTTCACTTGTATGCGGATGACACCCAACTCTATTTCTCCGCTTCTACCCTCAACTCCAGGACCACTGCTGTCCTGACAGAATGACAGCATTGACCTTATGATGCTTTTCCTTTTGATCTGTCACTCATTGAGGATGATCATCTTCTGGTGCTCAACTTGTCACCTCAAAATTTTTCTTGGCTGCAAGAGGAGCCTTTGAGTAAAGTGATCATTAATGGTAGTTGCATTTCATGTCAAGAAGTTGTCTCAAAGAGCTTCACAGAATTTACTGAAATTGTAGTTGTAGGTGGATGTTTGACTTTACCTTAGAAGGTGATGATACAATACAATACAAAATTACATTTGTAAAGAGCCTTTCATGTCGGGAGGACGTCCCAACGTTGAACAGTCAGGGCCATTAGGATCCGAGCTGGGGGGTGGTAGGGGTTTGGGATTGGGGAGGGTGGAGGGCAGAGAGGATAGCCAAATAGAGGGAGCGGACAGGTTGATGTCTGAAGCCAGAAACATCTTCTGTCACTACACAGCTTGACTTACAAGTTGGTAAAGGGGAACCCTGTTGTGGCACGGCATCCTTCAATTTAGAGCTGCCTTGTTAACCAGAAGTGTGGTACACTGGGTCCTGGATCTAACTAGCAGACTTCCTATGCTTTACTGATAAGATAAAACTAGGGCTCTTGAGAGAAGACAATGCATTGAGGGATAAACATTTTAAATGGGATTGAAAAAGTAAATCCTGATCAATACTTTGGAATGCAATAAGACTGTAAAACAAGAGGACATGGGTTTAGAGTAGTAAAGGACAATTTCAGGCCAGATACCGGGTTGTTTTCTTTACTCAAAGGGTAATTAATGACCGGAACAGCTTGATACTATAATTACTCATTGACTGGTCTCAAATATAAAGACTACTTTGGCACAATCTGAATGATTTCCAGCAGGTACAGAACTGTATCCCAGCATAAGTTATGATGACTTTCAGAGAAGGATGGGTGAATGGGGGAAGATTGGGAGACAAATCTTAAATATTGAAAAGGTTTCTTAAAAAATATGAAATTGTATTGAACTTATCAGAATTTAGTTTTTTAAAGCCAAGTTATAATATTAAATATTCTTTCAGATATCTATAATAGCTTTAAGATTATAATGTGACATTTTTAAAATTATGATGGTGACTATCTTAGCTATCGTTTCTATATGCTTAATGTTTAGTCTATATAATGTTTTACAGTACATATTTTATTTCCATTTGTTTTAGGGATTTTCGAGATAATAACATATCATTTATATGGAAAAACAACTGGATTTTCTTTACAATGACTGAATATCTGTAAGTATGATTGTGAGTTGCACCAGTATTTAAATCATTCATTAGCAAAAGCTATATATCATTTTCTGTTGGCCAAATATAAGCCTTTGATTATAGTTATATAGAACATAGTTACCAATAAAAATACATAATTAATGTGCATTATGTTTCACATTAACTCTTAAATCATATTTACAATTCAAAAATACAATTGTTACACTTTGCTTGTAGCATCAACTGTAGGACCATACACATTTGCCACAGAAAAGGAGGTCATTTGACCAATTGTACATGGAGCTATCCATTTAGTCACATTTTTCTGCTCTTTCTTCATCTCTTGTTATATTTCTCCTTTTCAGATATTTATCTAATTCCCTCTTAAAAAAGTTTATATGGAGTCTGCTTCAACCTCCATTCTAGGTAGGGTATACCATGTCCTAATAACCCTCATACAAAAAAAACTAAATAATAATCCTTGCATTTGATATAGCGCCTTTTCACATCTTTGAGACGTCTCAAAGCACTTCACAGAATATACTGTAAAGTGAATTGACTGTATATTTTGTGGGCGAAACGCGGCAGCTAATTCTGCACAGCAATCCCACAAATAGTCGTGGATTGAGTAATCAATTTTTTTTAAGGAAATATTACCCCCTAAATCTACTAATCTCTCCCTTTGTCATTTTGGTAATTACATTACATTTGTGGAAATCAGGTGAAATAATTGTTCTCTATTTACTTTGTTAAAAAATTCTATTAATTTCAAAACCTTGATCAGATCTCCTGTCAACCCACTCAGTTTCATGAAAAACAGCTCCACTTCCTCGAGTCTCTGGCCTTGAAATCATTGCTGTAGTGGAGTGTCCAAAGTAGACATATTATTCCAACTGTGGCCTTACAAATGATTTATGGATGTTTAGCATAATTCCTTTGCTTTCATAATATCTATGTAACCAGGATTTCATTTATTTTTCAATATGCTCTCCCACCGTTAAACATGTGTGTACATTCATCCCTTGTGCCTTAGCTGTTCCACTTCTTTTAGTTTACCATTTAACATATATTTTCTCTTGTTCTCCCAAATGTAACACCTCATATCTATTAACATATTGATGTAATATGCAAAAATAAAGCAGTGTTTGAAATAAGTCCTAAGTTGATCAAAGTACTACATTGCCCCTTCTGCACTTTGAGAAGTCTAAGTATATGAGCCTGAACACAACTTGGAGCATAAAACATGAAGCAACTGTCAATTGTGAAATTGAATAATATAGACTTGAAATTAACTAGATTTGACCAGTGTCCTGGGCTGAGTTAGCTTATCTCACCTGCAGTGATGTTACATTTGTTCTTATTGCCCTTCAACAAGGGTTCCAATTTCTAAACCTGCTGGAAAGTGAATGATTGGATGTTAAAGGAGGACAGAAATTGACATAATGTGATACCTGTGTCTGGAATAGAATATGGTTTCTCTCTCCCTCTCTGGAGGGACACACACTGTTTTGCTAATTTCAGAGAGTATTTTGCACAGGTTGACAAGAGCCAAGATTTGGGCATCCCAGATTGTGCATTGGAATACAGTTGAGGTTTAACCAGCTAAAATCGTGTGGCTTGGCATTGCGAGCACTGTCTGGTAAGCTCCCCACTGCTTATCCAGCTAGGACCACGTTTTAGCTTGTAGAATTAAGAGGACTTGAGTGGGAAGAATTACTGCCCACTTGCCTGTTTCTCCAAGTTCAATCAATGAGCCAGGTTTGCTGGTCTGTCATCAGTAGTGGCTTGCGGACTTGCCTGGTTCAGAAGTTGGATTACTAAGACTGCCACAGAGGGTCGATTCAATTAAGACAAGACATGTTACCTTGGAGCTAGCCCAGCCAAGCTTCTCTCTTCCTCCACTGATTACAAACACTTAAGGTCAAACCTTCTCCCTTGCTCAGCATGCAGTTCCACCACAGTGTAGTGCTCTGAGATGCTATTCTGCGTGAAGGGTGCAAGCTATTGTTTATGATTTAAAATGCACTGATTGTATTTCATGCACGGCATAACTTTAGACAGAGACTTCTGCAAATATGTGGTCATCGGAAAAAAAGGACATGTGTGATGTACATCTTTCTCCTTGCCCTTCACCTGTCCTGATCCCAATCCCCAGCTCTGGTCCAAATCCCTGACTGTCCAACACCTTGGGACATCCTCCCGACGTGAAATACACTTTACAAATGTAATTTGTTGTTGTTGTTCTCATTGTTTCATTTGAAAAGTACTTAGCAATTGTCTAAAGTTGTATAGACCCTTCCATTGCAACGAGACTTGCTTGGGAGGAGATATATATTTATAGGAGGATGTTGGATACGTAGAGGGCAGTGTCACAGACAAATTCAAATGTATGATTTGAAGGGTCAACATGGCTTTGACAGACAAATATATTCAAGAAAGCAAATTGTTGAAGGTTGATCTCCAAAACTGGCAGGTACTTCAAGAGAATTAGTGGCATCTAGGGATGGGGCAACTATGTTGGCAAAACCAAGGCAACTACTTCCTCAACAAATAGATACTGAGGCAGCGGATCTTATTGATCTAAGGACTTGTGACCACATTGAAGGAGTCCACGATGGCAGTAATCTACTCAAGATAAGCGTTGATGGCCATACCTTCAAGAACTATTATTATCCTGTTTCTCAGCGTTTTCTTGATCTGTTGGAAAGCAATTATTTTTAATCCTTGGTGGGGAAAATCTTCAATAATCTACAACTGAAATTTACACTTCAAGCAGAACAATTGTACTCATCATTCAAATGCCTTTTATATTTTGACTTTGACCTGCATACTCCCAAGTTATGGTGACAATACGACATTACATCTGACTATCATTTGAGTGTCTTCCTGTTTCTTTTCACACTGCTTATAGTCGGTGCATGTTTCATCTTTGAAACCTGTTGCATCGTGCCTTGCCAATTCATTTGGTCCCTTTTGAGAGTGAGACTTTGCCACCCTGAATGTTGCCTACTTGATGAGAAATGTTGCAACTTTATACTCGTGGATATATACCTTCATTGTTGATGGCATATAAATGTTTTATTAATGCTTTTTAGATTTTTGTATAATCATATAAGAAAATAATGCTTTCAACTGCTTAATTTGTATCTAATTGTCTTTCTTGCTTATTTGTGAAATTGAAATTGCCACAAAATCATGAGCAGATATTTGTGTGCAACAATATTAATTGGCTTATTTAAACTTTGTACAAGAAGTTTGGGGCCCCCTGTTAAAACTACACCTTATTGAGCAACAATGACTTAGTTTGTTTATTTTTGCCGACCGTGTTTGAAACTGCCGAGAGCTCAATGTTATGATTTTTACAACCAGATATCATTGTGCACAATGATAGCGATCTTGGCCCAAAATATATTTTCCTCAGTGCCTAACGTCTCTGCTTGCCAGGCCTGATCTGGTCCTACCCACTAGAGCCATTGCTATGTGTTTACCATCTGCAAGAAAATTATCACAAAACAATCTTAGCATCAATTGGCCAATTGACAGGATTATTTTATGAATTTCCTCCGCTGTGTTTAGTTGGTTCTGAAGAGCCCCTCTAATTGGTCAGTAGTGTATCTAGTTGTGTTGCACGAGATATTTGCAAATGCTTGAAAAACGGAAGTAAGATCATCCAGCTTTGGAAATCGCTTTGAAACATCTTCCCAAGGTGAAAGGAGTTATATATATGTAAATTGTATTGTATGCTATTTGTTCACGAGAGCACAGATTTATTTTACATACTAATTCAGCTACATCTTTTGCATAAATGTTCTGGAAAATGGGACTTCTAATGTCTGTACTCGGATTTGAAGGATATGTACTTAAACATGAGAATGGAGGGTCACCTGTAGCCCTAGCACCTGGCACCCCCAACATAAGGCCGTTGTTTCAGGACACAGAAGGAGAGCAGATTGCAGGGGAATTGTTTTTAAATATGGAGCTTACGAAATTGACCAATTGATGCTAAAAATATTTTCTTCACAATTGCATTTAGAAGCTGAAGTAAATGCTTTGGGACATATATTGCTGCGGTTACTAACTTCAGCAAGAATTGAGTTGTGTAATGGCCTATTGTGTCAAATTGGCATTTAGTGTGGTTAGCATTCGTCTCAGCATTACTACAAATTCAGAAACCAATGTTAATATGGGGTGGTCCAGTATTTCTGTCTTTTCATGTCCATTAAATGGAAACTTGTACACCACTTTAATGCACAAAAACCACAACAATAAAAGCAGTTAGTAAATGCTAGCTTGTCTGATGTTTGTGATTTTTTTATAAATTGGGAAGATCTAAATATCTGGCCTAATAAGAGGAGTGAAATACAGTAATACAGAGTCATCTACTGGTGAAGTATATCACTGTACTTGAAGATGGAGAGAGAAGTAAGTCATGGATACTGGTCATATTTCATGGTTAATAGAATGCTATTTTTGAGCAGATGGTTTTACTTAAATACAATTTACATTTATATAGCGCCTTTGACATTGGGAGAATGTCTGAAAGAGCTTAACAATGTTGGATGGAGGTGAGTCAAGGGGGTGAGGGAGAGAAAAGATGTCTGAAATCCCAGTCAAAAAGATAAGTTTTAGATGTACCTTGAACCGGGGATGGGAGGTGGGGGGGAATGAATTGGAGAGATTCCAGGATGGCATTCAAGAGAGCGAGGGGAAAATGGCTGAAATCCCACCCACCAAAGGTGGAGCTATCAGATAGAGCGGGGGACATGAAGCAGGCCAGTATCCAGTGAGGGAAGAGAGGAGCTGGGTCAGTACGCTTGACGTTAAGAAGCTTCTGAAGGATGATTCAAATTATCCGAAACAATTAAAAAATTGAGAAGGAAGGAAAAACAAGAAAACAAAGGGAAGAAACAAAGTAAAAAAATGAGTGAAAATTGAGAAAAGTAAAATGGAGGACAGAGATTGGGGCTTGGTTCTCGAGCGGCAGTCAATGACCACACATAGAGTGTGTCAGAAGGTAAGTCTCACTGATTCTCTTTCTGTGACTCTTCAGCTGATAATATGGAGAGAGTTTCTTCGGTCAGTCTCTTGGTCTTTGCCTTGCTCTCTCTGAGGCTTTGAATGTTCATTGCGTTAGGATGAAGCCATGTGGAATTATGGACTCCCGCAGCCTTTAATAACCTTGTGTCAGGTGAAGCTAAGATGTCTCAGCTATGAGGTATATCAACTCCACTATGGGATCTTGCAGAAAAGGCTCAACAGAAAAACAGAAGAGGCTGATATCTGATTTGAAGCTGGATCTTCATTTTCCTGATAATTTCAACTGTCAACTGTTTTTTTCTGAGACTAACAGCCTCATCATTAAATAAAAACAGAAATCACTGGGTGAATCACTCAGCAGGTCAAGCGGCATCTATGGAGAGAGGAAAGTGAGTTAATGTTTCAGGTCGATGAACTGAAACCTTAACTCACTTTCCTTTCTCCATAGATGCTGCGTGATCTGCTGAGTGTTCTCAGCAATTTCTATTTTTATTTCAGATTTCCAACATCTGCAGTATTTTGCCTTTAGCCTCATCACAGAGGCCGGTGTCTTTTTCCTTACTTGATCTGTTCCACTTTTTTTTTATCTCTCTTGCGCTCATTATATTTGTGAGCACTACAGATATGTGAATGGTCAAGATTACGGAGCTGACGTATTACAAAACTGGAAAGCACATCCCTGTGGCCATATAATATAATAACTAGCAATATAAACACTTCACGAATGAAACTGACCAAAATGCATGAGTGACAAGTGATTGTCCAGTCAGTCTTACAAGCAGATATTTTTTGCCCATCATTGCTATTTTTCAAATTGTTCAGTTAAAAGTTGTAAAGTTGTTAATTAATCTTCCACCTGAATAACTCATCCCAGGCATTTTCACTGTTCTCTATTCCATCAAAAGCAAATCTTGGAAACTCTAGTACGAGGAAGTCAATGGCAATGGGTTCGAAGAGGATAAATCCTTTCCTCTTTGACCCAAACATCTCCAGTAATTCACCTTTCCCTCTATCTCCAACTCCTACATATTGTGGTGACAAGTAGCTTTGTGGAGTAAAGGTTTAGACTTCTTACCTCGTCCACAGGTGATTTTAAAGCTTTTATTAGTTTGACTAAAACCCCTCATGTTGAACAGCTTAAGGTCCATACATATTTATGAAATGTCTGTACTTTCAGAAATTTAAAAGGGAACCATATAACGGATCTGATTCCTGAAACCTTCGAAGGTCTTTCACAATTGAAATACTTGTAAGTTTCCTGTTTTATTTACTATTTTCATGTTTAAGTTTAGTATTCTGATTTGTATAAGTGAACGATTAAAAAGATTTCTGAGATTTGGTTTGCTTTGCAACTAGATAGGTACAGCTGATATGAGGCCCAAAAAATTAGGTTCCAAATAAAAAGCAAACTAAAGTAAAACTTACCTGAAGAATGAAAGGCAGAGATACTAATATCTGAATTTCATTTTTCATTTTTCTTGGATTGATATAGATGTAATATTTCTCAAATTGTATCAAAGCTACAGCAGTGCAGGAATAATCCCAGGCACAATTTGATTATACCAAATACAGTACATCATTTTATTCAGGCCAGTATCAGCCCTTTCGCAGGCCAAAATTATCTCATGATTTGTGTTTTATCTTTAATGTTTGTCATATTATATTTGCGCTCAAATATGTTAATCCTGCATTTTAGAACTTTAGTTACATTTTACTCTATTGACTCCACTTACACAACTAACATATGTGAATTATCTCCATTCTTTCATTGTGTGATTTACCTCAAAGTATTTTCTCCAAATCTGGAGTTTGCAGAGTTTCTGGTGGGTGTGCACAGAAGGTACTGAGGTGTGATTATTGTATTAAGCTAATCAAATATTAGGTTACATTTTGACTACATATGTTGTGAAAAGTTATTCTAACCTGGAATAAATCACACGTGAGCCTCCAATTGGAATTGTATAATTTTGAGATCCCTATTTTCAAAAGGCGTTGAAATAATAGAGAGGGTTCAGAGAAGAGGAACCATGATGGTCTATTTTGTGTCTGACGCATTTGGAAATCCCATCACCCTGCCTACGAATATCCAAATCAAACCCAGTTTGATCAAACTTGCATCCCACCTACACATGGAAATTCCCATGTATTGGAATGGAATTTGGGCTCTATCCCTGGAGGGACACACCCTGTTTATTTGATTCCAGAGAATATTGATCATAAACTGTGAAGAGCCAAGGTTTGAGGATACCAGAGTGCGTGTTGGGGTAGTGTTGAAGTTTAAGCAGGAAAAACCACATAGCTTGCCCTTGAAAGCACCATCTGGCAAACTTTCTTGCTGCTTATCAGTTAGGATCACTCCGCTTGTTAGGCTTTGGCTTCCGTAATTAACGAGCTGAGTGGGAAGAATCCTTGCCGCCAGTAACTGATCTGTCCCTCCAAGTTCTACTGATAAGCCAGGCTGGCTGGATGTCATCTGCAGTGACCTGGAGTACTGTGGACCCTTTTGCCTCAGGATGGACAAGTGAGACAGGAACAGAAAATTTACTTGAACTGGTAATAATTCCTTCAAAACAAAAATAATCCACAACTGTTTGTGAGGCATTGCTTTGCGCAATTGGCTACCGCCTTTCGCCCACAAAATAAACTTTACGGTATATTTTGTGAGACATCTCGCTATATGAAATACAAGGATTATTATATTATTATTATTTGACATTCTGTTGCAAAGCATGACACCCTTGAGCCAGTTCAGCGCTAGTGCCAAGGAGATCCTGCTTACCTCTCTCCCCGCTCCCCACGGAGAAGAGTCACCAGTAGGTCATTTAACATCAACAAGCACAGTTTTGAGCCTGCAGTTGGTAGATGGCAGGTACTAGAAACTCCTTGCACAGCTCAGCATGAAATGTGTAAGAGCTTGGACAGACATCCCTACCCATTGAGTGATCGGGGGTGCGCAGCTTGAGCAGCAACTGCTTACCACTTTGCATACCAATCAAGGTGGATTCCAAGCCCTGTATATCTGAATGAACTCCAGGTAATGTTTTCCAACAGCTGTCATCCCAAGCCTCAGAATTTCCTCATCAGCTATCTGACGGACATCTGTCTTCAATGTGGTGGGAAGACATTTACAGGTGTGCCAGTCACCTTGATGTTCTCAAGGTCCAAGTCCAATGTTGTGTACCAACTGGGTTTACTCAGCACCAGCTGCTTAATCCAAGTCTTTATGTGAGGGGCTTTGGCAAATATACATGCCAGCTTTGAAGCCACTGCAGGCCGGAGCCCTCCCTCCCTGCAGTTGCAATCCATTTCACAGATCCTGAGCAGTGTCAAGTGTTTATGTAATGTTCATTTGTAAACTATGATGTAGCAATGATTTGGGGGTTTTTCTCATTTAAAAAATGAATAAATTGATTTTCAAAAATCATCTGTACAGAGTTTTATGAACTTGTGTTATCAGTTCATTAGTTGGTAGCACTTTCACATCTGGGACAGTAGGTTCAACATCCATATCAGGACTTTGACTTCATAGTCCAAGCTGACATTGGGAGGCTGCTACCTTATTGAAAGGTGCCATCATTTGGATGGGATTTTAATCTGAGGTCCTGTCTATCTGTTAAAATAGGTATTAGAGACCTAATGTTGATAATCAAAAAGAGCTTCTCCCAGTGTCCTTGCCAAACAAGCTGCCAGATGAGAATTGGTCACCCGCCCCACCATTGGCGGGAGAGCCTTCAGACACTCTGCCCCCAACCTTTGGAATTCCATCCCCCAATCACTCCGCCTCGCCCCCTCTTTAGCCTCCTTCAAGTCCTACCTCAAGACCCTCCTCTTCGACCATGCCATCAGCCACCCTCCCTTCCCCTCCCCTCCCTTCCTCCCCCCCGACCTCAGCTCGGGTCTGAAATGCTGTACACTGTCCAGCGCCTTGGAATGTCCTCCCGACGTGAAAGGCGCTGTACAAACGTAATCTTATTGTTGTTGTTGGTTATTGCTGGGACATGGCTGTATACTAATTGGCTGCCATCTTCATCTGCAAGGATAGAGTTACGATACCAATCCCCTATAAAGTGATTTGGTATGTTTTGACATTGTATAGGTCCAATATCAATTGCAAGGATCATTATTATCCCGGGAAGTCATTTCAAACGGTTACAGTGCTGCTAAAAAAAAATTAAAATGAGAATACTTTTGGTTTTCAGGCTTGAATTGAAGGCTAATGTTAAAACTCTAACTGCATTGTTTATTTAGCTAATTTTCCTGTTTACTCAGTAGGGCGAAGGTTAACGTCATAGAATATATACTCCGTCACGCTTTTTCTTATCTCACAGGTTTTTATCTCATAATCGGATCAGATTTATTGCAGACTATATGTTCCAGAACACTCCTGAAATTGAACTTATGTAAGTTTAGTTGAAACACTAAAAATACCTTGGATGAGGGACTTAAATTATGTGGAGAGATGAGAATGGCTGGGATTGTTCTCCTTAGAGCAGAGAAGATTAAGGGGAGATTTAATAGAAGTGTTCTAAATTATGTGGGAAAAATTGGTCGGCAACCAGAGGATGCAGATTTAAGATAATTTGCTNAAAAAAAGAGAAGAATTTTTTTTACCCACAGAGTTGTTACGATCTGAAATGCACTGCCTGAAAGGCTGGTGGAAGCAGATTCGATAGTAGCTTTCAAAAGGGAATTGGATAGGTACTTGAAACGGAAACATTTGCAGGTATATAGGGTAACAGCGAGGGAGTGGGACTAGTTGGATAGCTCTTTCAAAAAGCCGGCACAGGCACGATGGGACAAATGGCCTCCTTCTGCGCTGTAAGATTCTATGAAATACAGTAAAATTACTTGTACAAAAGGCTGCATATTAAAATCTATCCTTTTTCTTAAAGTGATGTAAGCAACAACAGATTGTTTGCAATACAAAGGGATCTTTTTCAGACAAAGCATGGATTACTGAAGCTGAAAGTCTTGTGAGTAACCTGCACTATTTATATATATCAATGCACTATATATTTATTAATTTTTCCCAATGTCCTCTCCTGACAGCAGTGACTCATGGCAGTGGTCAAGCTATAAACTACCACAGTCCTCTGGTGTCTTGTCCTATTAGAAATGTGAAATCTGTCATTACACCCTCTGTCTTGCCTGAGAATATGAAGCCATGTATGGAGGTCCCTACTTCCACCCTGGCTGAGATCAGCTTGCTCTGTCCTGGCTCTGGACTGAACTGGAGATGTTCTTGGTGCATTTTATCCACCAAAGACATTGGGAGAAAGTACTCTCTATACCAATATTATGTCCTGTTTGTTTCTCTGTTCTGAAAACATGTATTTATTATTATTGTTATTTTTGCAAACATTTAAGGTTTCTCATCAAAACTTATTGATATTCCTATTTTCTATGATCAGTGTGGTAACTAATAATGATATGCAACCATTTTCTGTATTCAAATATTTTTCGCTTTGCTCAAGTACTTAAGTACCCAAGTATTCTAATTATATTTGGGGTTGACATTACATCACATCACAAAAGGGGCATTTTCAAGAGTATAGCTTATGGTGGCTGCATAGAAATGGTAGAAACAACTCGAAATGGAAAATCCTATAAAGATGATCGAATGAAATGAAATAAAACTTGTGGTTCACCATTTCAAGGATCCTCCACACAGGAGGGTTTGCTATAGCAGATATGTTCCAAAATGGGCAGAAGCATGATGGGTTTAATAAATCAGTTTTATGTTCAGGAAATCATGATGGTGGGTTGTCATTTATGTAATTTCCCTGCACAACTCTCTATACTGTACAAAGGAAATAATCCTATTGATTTGTTTTTACCCAAACTGGAACCATTCTTTCTGTACTCAGTCATGTGTCTTGTAGTTTAGATTAATTTGCTTTACTTTTCTGTGTTTGATGCCACAAACAGTTTATTAAACTTGTGACATTTGTTTTCAATGTACCAACTGGTGCTGATTGAATCAATAAGTATTAATTGTTTCCTGTCTCATAGGCAATACATGGACTGTTTATAATTGCTGTAGGCACTGCCAAGTGTCTGAACTGCTTCTCATTGCACTATGATCTAAAATATTGTTAAGGAGCAGCACATTGATGGAATTAAAAGAGCACAGGAAACTAAAGATTCCAAAGATTTGTTTTTAGCCACATGAGCAGCCTAGCTTGTCTAATCGTTGCTTGTAGCTCATTTCTCTAAAACTGGGGGTAATCCTCATTGCTGTCCTCTGCACCATCTCTCGGGCCAAGACAACCCCCTTATGTCACGGTGACCAGAACTGTATGCAGTATTCAAGATATGATCTGAGCAGAACACTGTAAAGCCTGGGGAACTAAACTCAACTGGGGATCTAAATTCAACTGATTTAGTAATATAGCCAATATCCTGTTTGCCTTGCTTATTGCTGTTTCACATTGTTTTTCCATAGTGAGCATGAGTCAACTTGAGCCCTAGATCTTTTTTCAGCTTCCCTGTTGGCAAGTTTAGTCCCAGTGATGGAATAATTGTGTTTCCTATTCTTGGATCTTAAATGTATTACCTTGTATTTATCAGTGTTAAACTTATTTGTCAGTTATCTGACCATTTGTGTACCCTTTCAAGCTCCCTTTGTTGCCATCTCTGATTTCACAGTTCCCCCCAATTTAGTGTCACCTGCAACTTTTTTTCCTGCCCTGCTTTCTCTGAATTGTAACCTTCATTCCCTGCCCTCTCCCCAATGAAGCTAATTTACCAGAGGTAAATAACATACGACAAGATTACAATCCAGGAGGTATTCCTCAGACCATGTCCAAATTAATGGACTTGCAGAGCAGATGAGTTTTAAGCAGTTGGTTGTTGAATAAGCCTGTGTTTGAACCCTTAGAAGAGTAAGGTGGATGGGACTTCACAAGCTTTCTTGCATAGATTCTAAAGAATCTCCTCCCACTTTGATATCTGTCGAGTAGATAATGAGGAAATTGAGGCTTGGGATGACAGCTACTGGAAGGCATTGCCTGGAGTCCAGATATGTGGACACACGATCATATATCCAGGGATTGGTATCCACCTTGATTGGTGTGTAAAGAGTTAAGCAACTCCAAGCTGTAGGCAGGAGGATGGTGGTAATGTTCTCACACATTTCGTATTGAGTGGTGCTGTTCACGAGGAAGCTCACAGGAGCTCCGAGTATCTGCTACCTACTTACTGAGGGCTCAGACCTGTGCTTGTTGGATGTCAATTGATCAACCAGTGACAATCTTCCTCAGGATGGACGTTAACAATATCTCCTTGAGCTGAGCTGGCTACGAGCTGATGTGTTTGATAACAGAATGTCAGAATTGAGTCAAAATTCTGTTTCTGTAATCGGTTCTTGAGCCAGGTGGGATCGCAGTACTTCAAAACGTTGATGGCAAACCAACCAGCAACGCCTCAGCACACAACCTGCCAAGCTTTGGCTCTTGTCAATTTATGCCTGATAATTTTACAAAATTAGTTAAGCAGCCTGTGTCCCTCTAGGTCCAGAGTGTGCGTGCATTCCATTCCAGAAACAAACATTTCCATGAGTAGGTTGCATACATATTCTCCCTCTGGTGTATATATTTTTAAGCATGGTGCTGGGTTTCCACATTCAGAAATAGGCACCTGACTGACCAAATAAAAAAGCAGCGATGAGCAACAGTGTTGAAAGCATTGCGGCAATCATTAATTAGGCCAACGTTTTTCAGTTTGAGGATTGATGGTAGCTTCCATCCATCATCCCGTCATCCCTTCACAGTCTATTAGTGTTTGTGTTCCCCCACCTTGTGTTCCAAGCAAGGACTAGATCAGAGTACAATACTAGTGTTGTGTTCTTTGTCTGTGGCATTCTTCGTGGTGTTTTGATTCAAAATTGTTTATGAGATTTCAATTGAACCTGTGAAGTCAATATTTTCCAAAAGTTGTTGAGTTGATGGGGGTGGGTCAAGTTTAAACCCAAAATGTAGTGTTGATCACAGCAGCAAATATTCATTAGTACTAATTGGGAGATAGATGCTTTCCTGTACTAGGGTTCACATGCAATAGTACTGAATCCAAGATCAGTGGATGGCAAATGAAACCCCTCAATGGGGAGTTCTTATGTGATAAGGATAGACATGCAAGTTTTGTTATAGATGGATTGCAATAACATATAGAATTATACACACAGAAGGAGGCTATTTGGCTCATTGTGGCTGTGCCAGCTCTTTGAAAAGAGCTATCCAATTCAATCCCACTCCCCGGCTCTCTCCCCACAGCCCTGCAAACTTGTCCTCCGCAAATAATTATCTACTTCTCTCTTAAAAGTTGTTATCGAATCGGCTTCCACCGCCCTTTCAGGCCATGCATTCCAGATCCGAACAACTCACTGTGTGAAAAAATGTCTCCTCACCTCCCCTCTGTTTCTTTTAACAACTATTTAAATCGGTTTCCTTGAGTTACCGACCCACCCGCCAGTGGAAATAATTTCTCCTTGTTCACCCTATCGAATCCCCTCATAATTTTGAAAACTTCTATTAAGTTTCTTCTTAACCTTCTCTGCTCCAAGGAGAATAATTCCAGCTTCTCTCGCCTCTCCTGATAAATGAAGTTCCTCATTCCTGGTATCATCCTGGTAAGTCTCCTTTGCACCCTCTCCAATGCCTTGACATCCTTCCTAAAGTGTGTTACCCAAAACTGAACACAGTACTCTAGCTGAGGCCTAACCAGTGTTTTATAAAGACCAATTTTTTATAAAGGTATTTTATAATATGCATTTAATTAAGAGCTGATGAAGGTCTGAAAGGGAACAGCAGATTGGCACTGTAACCTTCGAAGATCTACTGTAATCGATTCCCCCTTTTGCATGAGGGGAAGAGAAGAAATATCTGTCATAGAAGTACTGGCCTTTATCTGTACTGAATAGCTCATTTTTTAGGTGATATGAATGAATAAGACGGGAGCAAGCTTCCATCGTCCTCTGTCAAGACACAGTATTGATAGTGCAGGAATAACAAGTCTCTACGCTGATCCTGAAGGACAACACAACAGATAATTCCCCAAGTTCGTCTGTCATCGACTCACTTCTCAATTGCACAACTTGGTCAATCTGTGACGTCACCTGTAGTGTGTGGAGGATGCTGGGGATCAAAAAGGGATTGTGTACTTGAAAGAGTTTTCTTCATTCTTCAAAGAGAGCCATCCTTCACGCACTGGACCTCCACCTTGCTTTCACCTCAGTCCCTTGTTAGTATAATCCAGTATTATTCCCCTTTTTCTTCCTCTTTGAGGTCCAGGTCGAAATGAACTGAGGTCCTCGAGTTGGAGTGCAACGTTTATAATGAGTGAGAGCAGGGAAAATTGGATGGGCAACGTCCTAATGCCATGATGTCATCGATGTCAGAAACATCTAAAGAAGGACATTGTTCCTTTTTTCCCTGCAGCAGAATTGTCCGATCCCAACAAACTGCTTCAGTGTGTGGAGAATACCTCTACTTGAAGAATGAGAAAAAAACCTACCCAGGTAGGTAAGTAATCTTTTAAAAATATATACTAATTACAAGAAACAATCATTTTTTTCCATTACTTTAATATCTTTATCAATAGTATTTATTGTACTCATGCAAATCTGGTGCAGAGTATTCATTGTCCATAAGCAATTGCTGTTTCTTTATCTTCTGGCAAAGTTATATTGCTCAAATACTTTTCACTACCTGTGTAGTTCAAAGTTAATTAACAAAGTTAATTCTTTCATGTCTCTGCAGCTAATTCTTCCAGATTTAGAGTCTGCAAAGCAAGGAAGTCAGTGATTTCTGAGGAGCAGCCCAATGACGATTTATATGAAGATGAGATGTCTGGTGAATGGAAGCACTCAAGAGATCCTGAGTCTAATACAATTAATATGTTATTGAACAGCAGGAGTAAAAAGACCATAGATGTTACTGGATCAAATGTTGATTCACTATACGAGCTGAGTCAAAAAGATATAATGGCACGTCAGCCATAATAGACAGATGCTGGCTCTCCATCACTTCCGCCATACATGAAAAGCATTCAAGTGAAAGATTTTGGCCAGAGCTTGTCCATCCATTTAAAATTTCGGTAAAATTGTGGTCTGGTCTCACCCAAATGGGCAGTGAGTGACATGACAATATTTCATCACAGAGTGGGGTTTGGCTGGCTGTAGTTGGAGGCTGCAGAGGCTTTGGTGCCAGCTTCCAATTACACTACAATTGATATGTTACTGCATCCAGTATACAAACTGAGCTTTCAGCTGGTGGGTCCTCCTAATGGTTGACAGATTCTCCTCAGACTTGTAAAGAGGCAACATATCAAATAGATCAAAAAGAGCACTATTAAAAATGTTTTCACACTCTTAAGACACAAATTCATTGATTCAAGTTTGATTTAATTTTTGAACATATTCATAAACTGTAGTAGTGAATTGGGTTGGTTGGTTGATCATTCAATGAAGGTTTACAGTCAATGTGAAATTGCTGTCAACAGTTAATCCAATAATAGGCTACATTTAACTATAACTCAAGATAAATTATTCTAGGAGGAGGGAGTTGCTCCTGGTGACCTGGCTGACAATTCTGTACATTATAAAAAGGTTGTAATTAACTTTATGGCTGCTTGTGACACATTCCTGTGCAGAAATTGGCTGATACATTTGCCTACCAATATAAAATATATAATACAATCAACGAAAAAAGCTAGCAGGCAAGCAAAGCTTCCAAAATGTTCTTCACCAACCCACTTTTCAAACTCGGTCTACTTTTTTCATTCACAAATATAAATTTCACTTTCTCAGCTTGCAAGAATCATTCTCATTGTTCTTCCTTGAACATTTCAAACTCAACACTTTTTGGACAGAGTGCCCAAATGCAAGCAGCTTATCAAGTGTAGGCTGACCAGTGACATGTAGTTCAGAATAATGATCTTTACATTTGACATAGCATCTTATCATGTCAAAATGGGACAAAATTCTTTGCCAAACTTTCTGTGAGGTGACTATATGGTGACGATAGGTGTGGAGTCCTGTAGCTCAGTGGTTAGAGCACTCGCCTTGCAAGCAAGACACCTGGGTTCAATTCCCAGCAGGGTGAAATCTTGGGCAAGTTTCCTTACTCCACACGCCCAATAATAATCCCTCCAAAACAGAACAATAATAAATTGGGCATTTTCAATCCGCGACTGTTTGTGGGGACGCTGCTGTGCGCAATTGGCTGTCGCGTTCGCCCACAAATATACGGTCAATTCACTTTACAGTGTATTCTGTGAAGCGCTTTGAGATGTCAAGAAGACGTGAAAAGCGCTATATCAAATGCAAGGATTATTATTATAATCTCTTGATAAAAATGGTGATTTCATGGCAGTTTGCAGTACATCATTTTATTGAGCACTGAGAGACGCTACCTCGGGTGAAGGGCGCAATATAAAATGCAAGTTGATGTTTTGATATGCTGAATGATGAGTCAGCTCACACCCTTAGATCTATTTCCACTTCCTTCTTGGCAACTTCTATTTCATCCATCGGAGTACATGTGTTTCCTATTCTTACTTCCTACATGTTGTACCTTGCGATTATATTTGTACTGTGTGGCCCTCCCTCTTTAAAACATGTCAAAAGGGAAGGGTTGTTCTGTTGTATATCTTGACTAGCTGTTATGTGACATCAATCAAATTGAAGGAGCGTTAACGACTGGATTTGAAGGATTTTGTTCTTCTACATATTGGTTGCTAGGATCTTTTGAAACACTCTTAATTCCTACACAAGTCTCGGCCTAACTCAGATAATAAAATTTTTACCTCCGAGTCAGAAGGTTGTGGACTTTGAACTCATATAAATCTAGGCTGATCCTCCAGTGCGGTACTGGGGATGCGTAGCATTGCTGGAGGGGCTGTCCTTTGGATGAGACTTTGAACCCAGATTCAGTTTTAAAAAAATAGAAAAGAGAAGGGAGTTAACCCCAGTGTCCTAACCAACAATCCCCCAAATAAAATTGAGCATTCACTTCGTTGCTATTTGTGGGACATTGCTGTGTGCAAATCAGTTTCTATGTTTGCCTACATAATATACAGTCACAGCACTTCACAATAAATCCTGTGAAACGTTTGAGTCGTGCTCCTGATGGAAAACGTACGATATCAAATGCAAGGATTTTTTTTATTATTCCAGAAAATAAAAATAAAATAATGGAAGCATTGCAAATAAAAACAGAACAAACAATTGGGGAACTAATAATATCTATATATTTGACATTGATTTGCAAGTATTTTTATGCCAATTGTGATAAGACTGTAATTGTCATCTCAACAATGTTTCCACTATATTGGAAATCTGAACCTGAAGGGTAACACTAAAATTAGTTATCGTCCTCTTTCAGATGCTGATTAACCTGTGCATTTCCAGCTTTTGTCTTTTTTATGTGAACAAGATTTCATGTGCACATTGAGTAACAAGTTGTATATTTCTGTATTTTTCAACAGGGATTTGAGCAGTAATGATATATTGGTACTAGGGCCTAGTGCATTCAGTCAGCTAACAAACTTGCATTTCATGTGAGTATTTTTCTTTTAGTTAAAGCGAGTTGTGAAGCTAAATGCATAAGTGCCTCACGTAAAAACACACCTAAATAAATCCAGATTTTTAACTCATATTTGCTTATTGGTAACATGTGCCAGCTTGGCTCATTTGGTGGCACTCTTGCCATTGGGTTCAAAATCCACGTCAAGACCCTAGTGCACAGTTTGTCGTAAACCAATGCAGTCCTGTGCAGTGCTACATTGTTGGAGGTGTTGTCCTTCATTTGAGTCGTGAACTAAGGCTTTGTTTGTTCTTCAGCTCAGTATCAAATAGCCCGTGATGCTATTTGAAAAGAAGGGAGTTTCTGTCTGTCTGTTGGCCTGGCTTTTGTAGCACCCTTGTTTGATTCTGTTTGCTTTCAAAATAGAATTTGTGAATTCCTTGTTTTTGATGCAATAAAGTGATACAAAAATCACAAGTCCTTTGTTTCACGTGATTTTCAATAGAAATCAAATAGATTAGATTTAACTAAATTAAAGAGCTCAGCTTTTGTTATGTTAATTCAGCATTTTGTTTATAGGAAGTACTTTTAATTAGATGCTAATAAATGCAGGCAGAAACAGAATCATTGTACAAAAGCTGTGCCCACAGAACTCTGAAAAAACATTTACAGCCTATTTATATATCCTATTGAGAAAAATATGTATAGTTTTTTTTAACAATTTACCCTTTCTCTTTTAGGAATATAAGTGATAATTATTTAAGCTTAATAGGTAATGGAGCTTTTCAACACCTGTCTTCAATCATCTACTTGTAAGTATATTCCAGCTATTATACTACTGATGAAAATGAAATGTACAGAGGCAATTGATGTATTTATTTTGCCATTAATTACCAAAAGTATGTTTTTAGGTTTTTTTTTGCTATTCTTTTGATTGCTTGTTACTTTGGCGTTAGAAGGGTGTAAGTTCCACGTCAGGACCTTGAGCTCATATGATCTAAGCTGACACTCCAGTGCTCTGCTGGGTGTGTGCTGCTTTGCTTTGGGATGCCCTCTCGACGTGAAAGGCGCTATACAAATTCAAGTTGTTCTTGTTTTCTCACTTGTTTGCTTTTGGGTTTCTTTCACAAGCCAATCGGCATCAGGTTCAGTCAGCCATAGTGCGAAAGATCAGTGACTCTTGAAACAGTCCTGTGAATAGAGGAGTTTCAATCAAATGTAATTGCTTGGGCAGTGCTGTTTTAGGGAATCGATATTGTTATAGAATAGTTAAATCCCTCCATGATCTTATGGTGCCCTACCTCTGTGAGCTCCTGAAACCGTACTGATCTTTGGGACGTCCTCCCGACATGAAAGGCGCTCTATAAATGTAATTTTTTTGTTGTTGTTGATCTAACCAATCCCTTCGCTCAGAGGGCATCACCTGCCTCACGTCCCCCGCCCTACTCACCCCACCATCGGCCTCCACTCTCTGCCCCCGCTCTCTGGAACTCCATCCCAGAGTCTCCCTTCCCTCACCTCTTTCAAGGTCTATCTCGACCTACCTCTTTGATTGCCCCTTAGGTTCGGATAAGCTGTGCCCATGAACTAGATGAATCCTTGATTAATTAGTTCACTTTGTTACATATATTTATAATGACTTCGGAATGACCATGCAGTGTATTCTAAATATGTGGCTATATTGTGTGTATGTAAGCTGCAATACAGCAAAGCTAACAAAAATATTCCATTCCAGTTCTTACATTTTTCTATCTGGTAGTTTCATACATGCATTTGTCACCTCAAGGCTTGACTACAGAAACTCCCTCCTTGTGAACAGGCTCCGTGAACCCGATCATCCTCACCCTCGCCCGGCTCCACTGGCTCCCCATCCCTCAGAGGATAGAATTCAAAATCCTCGTCCTCACTTTCAAGGCCCTCCACAGCTTTGCCCCCTCCTACATCTCTGACCTGCTGACCCCCTATCAACCTCCGTTCAGCGGTCTCTGGCCTGCTCCTGGTCTACCATTGGTGGCCGGGCTTTCAGCCTCTCTGCCCCCACTCTTTGGAACTCCATCCCACAATCTCCATCTCTTCCTTCGCCTCGCTCCCTCTCTTGCTTCCTTCAAGGCACGACTCAAGACTCTCCTTTTTGGCCGTGCCTTCAGCTGCCCTCCTACCCCCCCTGCTCTGCCTCATCCCAACCCTGCCACCCACGCTCGGGTCCTGATCTCTAACTGTTCAGCACCCTGGGATGTCCTCCCCACGTGAAAGGCACTTTACAAATGTAATTTTGTTGTTGTTTCCAAGACATTGCCCATCTGTCATTTTGTTTTGATGTGGGAAAATTGTGAAAAAGCATTGGGGAAAAACAACCTGGCGGCCCATTGCTATGCAGAGAAATTAATTAAAAAAGAAGAGATTGGATGAATTCTAATTTTGCAAGTTGAATTGCAAGGCTAAATTCCAAACTGCTCCAGAAAATTGTCCTTGAGAGAACCAGATTACTGCATTTAATAATGTATTTTCATGGCGTTTCACTTTAAAACTAAAATTCTGACAAGTTAGCGTTGCATGTTGGAGCACTAATACATAGAGAGGTGAGTAGGAGTAACACCTTTACTTCAAAATCTTAGTTGCGGAGAAACTGGAAATAAAGAGAAAATGTAGTGGGAAGCTGTGTTGAAACTGCTATTGTGTGCTAAACTCAGGAGAACTTTTGACAGAGCCAAGCTCTGGGCTAATATTTCACACGTTACTTATAACCCGTTATCAAAATTCGAAAATAATTCTATCTGTAAAAGTGTAATGCACTTTTGTTTTCTTTTAGGGACCTTCGTGCAACTTCCATTTCTCTTGATGTTCTCAGAGCTATTTTGCAGAGCACAACAAATATTGTTAACCTGTAAGTATATTTATTACGAATTATTGGATACTACATGAAAATATGTTATAATGCATTGTATCTTTTGTCAACAACAACAACTTGCATTTATATAGGGCCCTTCGAGGCTGGATGGAGTGCAGGGACGCTGTATATTGTCTACCTGTATACATTGCCAAATGTTTCTAAATTGTGAATGTTTAAGTATGTGTTTGTTACGATTGACCGAGGTATGAAGTATTTCCCGGGTTGATTAAATGTTGAGTACACTGATCTAGTAGATCGATAAATATACATGAGTCATATATTACCATGGAATCACTTGATAAAGGTTATTATATATAATATTTATGAATTGAGGTGGTAATTTTGTATTGGCTAAACAATATCTAATTTATACGAATTTTGTTGATGCTTATGATGTCACAATATCAAACGCGTCGACTATCTGGGTAATAGGTAATTGGCAATATATCACTAAATAGAAGTCACTCGCAGTATTTGTACAACAACTTAAATCCTTACATTAACAGCAAACAACAACAACTTGCATTTATATAACAACATTTATATTTTGAATTTATATTTATATATGGGACGGCCTCCTGACGTGAAAGGCGTTATGCAAATGCAATTTTGTTGTTGTTGTTATTGTGGATATCTGTATTTTTAGTTGAACCAGCAATTTCCGAGTTCCCTGTTGTTTTGTAACTGTTGGGAGAGTATTCATTTCTCTGCGCACCCTGATCATCCAACAGCTGTGACTTAGAAAGGAGGTTTGAGGTGGATTGCTGCTTGCTTTCAATTTTAAGATGCCCCAGAATGTTTTCAACAGCTATCTGAGAATGACTCTGTCTCTCCAAGGTCAGATCTGACCACTGCTTGATTTTCCTGCAGAAATGTGCCTGAGATTTTAAATACAGTGAAGAAAAAAATCTGCCCATCCTCCCCAACAAACACGTTGCATCATCACATCATCCCAGTTCTATATGATCCTTATTATTGGTATCTTTTGATTAATGCATATTTCATTCCTTATTACACTTGTATAATTTATTACTGTTCTGCATCTACAAAATAATCATATTTTTCTGCGCTCAAAACAGTGCTACCACTTGCCATGGCATTTGTTCGATAGTGACCGTACAACTGCTCAATCTGAAATTCCTTTACTGTCTGTTTGTTTACCTTGAGCATAAAATGTTTTATAAAATGTTTTGAAACCATATTTCAGTTTACGTCAATTGTCCCAATCTGATGCTTCATTCATTTTGTTTAAAGGGAGCCATCACTAAACAGCTATTCTATAAACAAGGTACCAATAGTCCCCAGCATATCCTCTGGCTGGTAAAATGAGGAAGCTGCAAGAGAGGTGGCTTCCTCATTTACAGGCTCAGTTACAAAGATACTGATCAAAAGGAAGGGGTGGCATGTTCTTACTTGTTTATGTTCTCGATACATAACCTCAAAATTGCTCACAAGGCCATATACAGGAATCAAGGCCTGAGGTGACCATGGTTCAGTAGCTGTAGAAGCATCTATATTTTGTGAGGTGGAATGTTTTTGTAAAATATCTTGGTAGAAAGTCTATCATCATTTGAATATTAGTTAATACAGTAATGCACCATTCACTTTACACACTTGAGCAATGAATCCTTATCTGCTCCATCACCTCAAATTTACAACCAAGTGTTTTTTCTGAAACCTTTAACTCCATAGATTACTGCAGAATATATAAACAATAACAAACTTGCACTTCTATAACCCATTAAATTGCTTTATAGATAAAAACAAAGCAAAACAACATATTAAACAAAAATACTGTGCTCCCCTGGCTTCTCAATCTTTCCTATTTGTATTATTTTTAACTTTAAATTGATATAATTTAGCAATCTGTTCTGATGGTGACACGTTGACACCTTTATCCTAGTTACATTTATTAGCATTAAATCAAATCTAGAATCAATATCTAACCTGTTGCGTGTTAGCTTGGCTCTGTCATCGTGGTTATAAGAATCAATTTCAAGGTACTCACCCTCACTTAGAAATTCCTTCATTTTTTTTATTGGTGAGTGAGGTTAGACCTGCTCCCCCCTCCTGGATTTTAGTCGATTGGCAGATCGCTTTTCCAGGGTCCGGGAGTAATAATAATTCCTTCAAAGTAAATAAAAATAAATTGGTCACTCAATCCATGACTATTTGTGGGATACTGCTGTGCGCAATTGGCTGCCGCCTTTCGGCCACAAAATCTGCAGTCAATTCAGTTTATAGCATATTCTGTAAAGAGTTTGAGACGTCTCGAAGATGTGATAAGGCACTATGTCAAATGCAAGAAATATTATTATTATTGACCGAATTAGACCAAAACATTCCACTTTGGAAATGAGGGTTGTCTCTGCAAACAAGCCCCAATTCCCCCATACTCTTCTAGGCCCCAAATTGTCAAAGGACAATGAGGACCTGACCATGTCGGGTGACTGGATCATGCCTCTGGCAGGGAAAGCCTAGTGACCAAGGTCTCAAGTGATCTCTGATTCCAGTATCACCGCTTCCTCTTTGTGAGGGCAAATCAAACTCCTCAGATTTGTAGTACTGCATTACCTATAAATCCCTTTGTCCCCTGGACACCTGCCTATCTCTCTGATTTTCTCCTATCTCACTTTGCTTGCACCCTCCGTTTGGCTAACTTGGGCTTGCTGCACATTCCCCACCGTCTCTGTGCCTGCATCGATGGCCAAGCCTTTCAGAGTCTACACCTCCAAACTCTAGAGCTCGCTTGTCTCCTCACTATCTGTCTTTAGCTCCAGCCTGAAACCTACCTGTTTCAACTAATCCACCATGCTGCCTTTATTTACTTTATTTACTTAACTCACTTTACAGCATATTCTGTGAAGTGCTTTGAGACATCTAGAAGACGTGAAAAGCGCTATATCAAATGCAAGGATTATTATTATTTTATTTCATGCTTGCAACTTAGAACATAAATTCTGTCATCTGAATGTTAGTGTGTTTTTAGCAGTGTGTTTATATATGGGAAAACACTGTCTACACTCTTTTATCAGCCTCTCATTTTGTACAGAACTGGATCATGCAGCGGATAATTTTAGAAACAGAAGTATATTTCATTTTCTTATTCTGTGGCAAACAAACCTTCTCTATTCCCTATTAAGAATCATTATACTGTTGGGACTGTCTCATTTGCAATTATGACCATTTACCTATAATAATAATAATCCTTGCATTTTATATAGCGCCTCATCACGTCTTCGAGACATCTCAAAGCACTTCATTTAATATGCTGTAAAGTGTGGTGACTATATTTTGTGGGCGAAACGTGGCAACCAATTGCACGCAGCAGTATCCAACACTGGATTGAGTGACCATATTTTTTACTAATAGTTACTTTTGTTATAAATGAGCCACTTGAGTATTTCTTCACATTTGTATTTTTTAATGGTTGAATAACCATTTTTGATTGAGTGAATCCAAGGTCAGTGAAACCTTGGCACTATTTCTTCCCATGGGACAGCAATATACTTTTGTTGTGTTTATGTAAATTCCTTTACAGACATGAATCTGATTGAAAAGCTTATTGAACAAATCTCCTTTGCACTGCCAACTCGAATGGGAGATGTCACAAGAAGTTGAAGATATACACACCTAAACATATGAGAAAAAACAATTAAAATAATTATCATATACAGATTTCACATCCACGTATATACATTTCATTTCATGGCCGTTTGTGGGACATTCCTATGCACAAATTGGTTGCCGCATTTCACTTACAAATATACATTTACTTACCAGTAATTTCTGTGAAGCACGTTGAGGCGCCCTCCCTCAATGATTTATTATACAGTTGATTTGCATCCTTCTGTTTCTGTAGTATTTGGTGCTTTTTGAAGATAAATCATTTTATGTGTCCAATCAGGTATGTGCAAACTGGCAGTTCAAAACTAGCTGAGGGTTTTTCAGACTTAAGTATAGAGAAATATCTGTATTCAGAACACTCAAAAAAGACGAATTGTGTGTGGGATTGGATTAGAGTGCTCATATTTCATTTTAAGGATACGGTTTAGTTTCCGGTTCCTGTGAAGTATTTATGCAGATATATTTGGAGAATCTCATTCCAGTGACTAGATGCTCCACGAGCTGGCATTAATTGCCACTTTCACAAAGAAAGGCCACAATGAGAGCTGTGTGGGATAGGACAATTGCACTGGTGCACCCTTCTAAGAATCAGTGTCGTTGGTGGAAAGTAGAAGGTACCTTACCCCTCTAGCGATTTGACCTGTCAGTGCTCTAAACCGACATTAGGTGTCCCAAGGCGGAAAATGTTTCTTCATTCCTGACCGCTGCTCTTGATAACATCCTGGGCAGTGCCGTCAATTCTGGGGTCATTCTGAAAAGAATAAAAAAAACATTCTTCCCTGACCGTCACAAAGCAGTGTTTTAAAGACATGCTAAAGCGCTGTATGAAATGAACAGCAAAAACAACAACAACGGCATAACAACAACATAACGTAACATGAACGTAAGCACATAAGAATTTGCTAGGCGATCCAGTTCGCCACCCACTAATCCTGGTCGTGGCCTGACACATAGTGTCCCAAACTATATATTGTATCGCGAGATATTATTTTCCAACAGAAATGCAAATATTATTATTAATATTAAACCCGTGTTTCAAAACTTTGTTTCAGTTACCATTAAATGTTATATCTGCAAGCATCTGGAAGCTGACACAGACAAATGCTCACTCTTCTGGAAGCTTGAGGTTTTTGAGCATATTATGGATATGGTGTCCTCATATTTGGACTGCTGCATAACAAACACTTTTTCAAAATGTTGTAATAAAATCCAAATGTAAAATATGATTTCAGATATTTTTCATGTTCAAACAAGTCCAGGATTGATTTTGATAAATGTTTCAAGGTTTCTTGTCTATTCTAACTATTGTCACTAGATTCTTATTTGTTTTCCATTCTGCAGTTATATATCCCACACTCTGAAATGCTGCTTATGCAAGTTTCCACTTCTGAACCATCTTATTCTGCCACGGAAAGTGGAGATTAACTGCAAGAATATTTACTGTACCGTGACATTGATTCAGTGTTGTAAGTATCATTACTTCTGTTGATCAGGTTATTATTTTAAATATTAATTGATTGTTATGCATGAAACAAGTTTTTTTTGAGTAAAATCATAGAATCTTACAGCACAGAAGGAGGCCACTTGGCCCATCATGCCTGTGCCAGCTCTTTGAAAGAGCTACCAACCAGTCCCACCCCACTCCTCCGCTGTTACCCCATATCCCCGCAAGTTTTTCCTTTTTAAGCCTATCTGATTCCCTTATGAAAGCTACTATCAAATCTGCCTCCACCACCCTTTCAGGCAGTGCGTTTCAGACTGCAACAACTCTCTGGGTAAAAAAAATATAGATCTTCTCAAGGTTCTCTACCTGGAATGTACACTTTTAATGAACGTTATGATTATTTCCCACAGACACAAAAGAAATCGAAAAAAATCAACTCTCACTTGATAAAGAGAGAATTGTTCAACAAATGAAGGCCATCAAAGCTGGTGCAGTTTCATCACTCCCTGGGCGAGATGAACTTGAACGACAAAAACAGAACAATGGAGCCCACAGCTTGCTAGATAAATACGAACAAGTTCATAAACCAGACGTACATGCTGTTAATGTCACACTGGGATCACCGGAAATGGGTATTGAAAATCTGAATCAGAACTTACAGTTGGGTGGTAAAGAAATAGAAGTAAAGGAAGCGATTGATCAAAAAAATGATAAGTTGTTGAACATCATAAGACACGAAGAAGAAACCGAGAGGATATTAAGGGAAAAACAGAAACAACATGATATCGAGAAGCTGTCGTCTTCAGATGATGCAAAGGAATCCTGGAAATCTGAATTAAATAATGAAGAGGACACACTGGATAAACTGCACAAGTTGAAAGAAACTTTAAAGTCACTCTATCACTATGCTACTGAGAGAATAGAAAGCGGTGAAGATGACAAGGTGATTGTTAAGCTTGACTCCTAAAGCAATGAAGGCATTTATGTTTGAGCTGAAAAGTAAAATTAAACATTAAATTGTGACGTTACAAACATCAAAGTAAAGCAAAGTAAAGATAAGTATCTTGGAATTAAGAAACTACATAAAATAAAATTGGGGTCAGGAATTTAAGCAAACGTTAATATAGTTTTTAAAACATTTTGTGTTTGCCAGCCCTTACTTAAACAAATTATTTATCTGTATTGCTAGATCATTTAGGATTTTTGTGTATGACAAAAATGACTTGAATAATTTTAATGTGCTGTTTTATATTTGAAATTAATTGAAGCATTTTCTTTTTGCAAAATATGTGGAGACTTACAAGCAAACTTCAGTTTAGTAAATGCAATAAAGGAAAAGAGCTTGAAAATGTTGCACCGTTGTCACAGAAAATCTCTGAACTCATTCCTACCTTCATCAAACAAAGATGTAATTAAAAAAGTCACAAAGCTAAATGAAATGACACAATGCTTGTTCAGAAGTATTGAAACTGATAGACGCAGACCGATAGAAAAACAGTTAAACGCAAGAGAAAATAACTACACAAAACACTGAGTGCGTTACACAAAACAAACTCGTGCAATAAGCAACAGGTAAGCACTCATCACAGAATCTGAAACAAGGAAGAAGTGAAAATTTGCAGAGAGAAAAACAGGAAATATATATATAGCTATCTGGAATATTGCCTTTGAGGGTAAAATATTTTTGTCAGCGCGTGCATTAGTAAATATTTAAAGTTGAATTTGCTATTTTATCTTGTGTATGCACCTTCATCAAAACACTTCTCTGTCTTTGAAAGGTCTTAAAAAGACAACAACATTATTCTAGGGCAGCTGGAGCACATCCTGAACAGATTCGTCAATATATTTAGTTCATAATTAGAATTCATATTCAAAGACTGGCCAACAATATTAATTTGCATAGAACATATCCTGCAGCTCAGTGGTTAAGAGCACTCGCCTGGCAAGCGAGACACCTGGGTTCAGTTCCAGACACGGAGTTACCTTGGGCAAGTTTCCTTACTCCAACACAGAGCCTAATAATAATCCCTCCAAAACAAAACAATAATAAATTGGTCATTTTCAGTCCACGGCTGTTTGTGGGGACGCTGCGGTGCGCAATTGGCTGCCGCGTTTCACCCACAAATATACAATCAATTCACTTTACAGCATATTCTGTGAAGCGCTTTGAGACGTCGAGAAGACGTGAAAAGCGCTATATCAAATGCAAGGATTATTATTATAACATCTAAATGCTTCTTTAGAACATGGGAGGGAATAAGGAATGGAGTATAAACAGTGCCGCGGACGGGTTGGGATGAGTGGCTGTTTCCGTGGTGTACGTTTTTCATAATACTCTTTATTGATGATGCGAATTTCAAATCAAAATTATGGTGAGAAAAACTGATCAATCAATCTCTACAAATTATATATGTGTGTGTGTGTGTGAGAGAGCCTGTGTCAGGGTGTGTGTGTGTGTGTGTGTGAGAGCCTGTGTCAGGGTGTGTGTGTGTGTGTGTGTGAGAGCCTGTGTCAGGGTGTGTGTGTGTGTGTGTGTGAGAGCCTGTGTCAGGGTGTGTGTGTGTGTGTGTGTGTGAGAGCCTGTGTCAGGGTGTGTGTGTGTGAGAGCCTGTGTCAGGGTGTGTGTGTGTGAGAGCCTGTGTCAGGGTGTGTGTCTCTGAGAGCCTGTGTCAGGGTGTGTGTGTGTGAGAGCCTGTGTCAGGGTGTGTGTGTGTGAGAGCCTGTGTCAGGGTGTGTGTGTGTGTGTGTGACAGCCTGTGTCAGGGTGTGTGTGTGTGAGAGCCTGTGTCAGGGTGTGTGTGTGTGAGAGCCTGTGTCAGGGTGTGTGTGTGTGTGTGTGACAGCCTGTGTCAGGGTGTGTGTGTGTGAGAGCCTGTGTCAGGGTGTGTGTGTGTGTGAGAGCCTGTGTCAGGGTGTGTGTGTGTGTGAGAGCCTGTGTCAGGGTGTGTGTGTGTGAGAGCCTGTGTCAGGGTGTGTGTCTCTGAGAGCCTGTGTCAGGGTGTGTGTGTGTGAGAGCCTGTGTCAGGGTGTGTGTGTGTGTGTGTGACAGCCTGTGTCAGGGTGTGTGTGTGTGAGAGCCTGTGTCAGGGTGTGTGTGTGTGAGAGCCTGTGTCAGGGTGTGTGTGTGTGAGAGCCTGTGTCAGGGTGTGTGTGTGTGTGTGAGAGCCTATGTCAGGGTGTGTGTGTGTGAGAGCCTGTGTCAGGGTGTGTGTCTCTGAGAGCCTGTGTCAGGGTGTGTGTGTGTGTGTGAGAGCCTGTGTCAGGGTGTGTGTGTGTGTGAGAGCCTGTGTCAGGGTGTGTGTGTGTGTGTGTGAGAGCCTGTGTCAGGGTGTGTGTGTGTGTGTGAGAGCCTGTGTCAGGGTGTGTGTCTCTGAGAGCCTGTGTCAGGGTGTGTGTGTGTGTGAGAGAGCCTGTGTCAGGGTGTGTCTCTGGGGTGTGTGGGGGGGGTTGGGGTGTGGGGGTGTGGGGGGTGTCAGTGTGGGGGGGGTTGGGGTGTGGGGGGGGTTGGGGTGTGGGGGTGTGGGGGGTGTCAGTGTGGGGGGGGGTTGGGGTGTGGGGGGGTTGGGATGTGGGGGGGGTTGGGGTGTGGGGGTGTGGGGGGGTTGGGGTGTGTGGGGGTTGGGTGTGGGGGGGGGTTGGGGTGTGGGGGGGTTGGGGTGGGGGGGGGGTTGGGGTGTGGGGGGGTTGGGGTGTGTGGGGGTTGGGGTGTGGGGGGGGGGTTGGGGTGTGGGGGGGTTGGGGTGGGGGGGGGGTTGGGGTGGGGGGGGTGTGGGGGGTGGGGTGTGGGGGTTGGGGTGTGGGGGGGGGGGTTTGGGGTGTGGGGGGGGGTTGGTGTGGGGGGACTGTTGAAGCTGCGGCTGCGCAGTCCAGGCCGGGGCCCCGCCCACCGTGTGACCTGTGGGGTCGCCGAGGCCCGGATGAGGCGGAGAGAGAGAGAGAGAGAGGAACATGTCGCCGTGACCACAGCGGTGAGACCCCCACACCACCTCCCACATACCCCCCCCCCACACACACACCCCCACATACCCCCCCCACCCCCACACCCACACACACACACCCCCACACACACCCCCCCCCCACACCCACACACACACACCCCACACCCACACACACCCCCCCCCCCCACACCACCCCCCCCCACCCTCCCACACACCACATACCCCCACACACCCCCCCCCCCCCACACCACCCCCCCCCCACACCCACACACACCCCCACATACCCCCCCCCACCCTCCCACACACCACATACCCCCACACACACACCCCCCCCCCACACCACCCCCCCCCCACACCCACACACACCCCCACATACCCCCCCCACCCTCCACACACCACATACCCCACACACACCCCCCCCCCCACACCACCCCCCCCCCACACCCACACCCCCCCCCCCCACACCACCCCCCCCCCACACCCACACACACCCCCACATACCCCCCCCACCCTCCCACACACCACATACCCCCACACACACCCCACCCCCCCCCACACACACACACAGCCCCGTCCACCCCCCCACGCACACCCCACACACACACCCCACACCCCCCCGCACATACCCCCCCACCCTCCCCAGCCCCCTCCACACACACACACACACGGTTAATGTCGGGGCGGTGGAGGCTCCCGGTAACAACAACGACAACAGTCAAACCTCGCGGCTGCCCCGCCCCGGGGGGGGGATTGGCCGGAGTGAGAGCGGTCAAACCGCTGCCCTCACCTCGGCCACAGCCTCTCAGGCCCCTCCCCCCCCCCCCACCCCCACCCCCCGCGGCACTGTGTGTCTGTGTATTTATGTCAGTGCCTGTGACTATGTGTGTCTGTGTGTGTATGTATGTGTGTGTATGTGTGTGTATGTCTGTGTGTGGACCTGTGTGTATGTGTATTATCTGTGGGTCTGTGCGTGTGTGTGTGTGTCTGTCTGTGTATTTATATCAGTGTCTGTGACTGTGTGTGTCTGTACGTCTGTGTGTGTGTTTGTGACTGTGTGTGTCTCTGTGTGTATGTGCGTGTGTGTCTGTGTGTATGTGTGTGTGTCTGTGCGCGCGTGTGTGTGTCTGTATGTTTATGTCTGTGTTTGTGACTGTGTGTGTCTGTATGTGTATATGTGCGTGTGTGTGCGCGTATGTGTCTGTGCGTGTGTCTGTATGTTTATGACTGTGTGTGCCTGTATGTATGTGTGTGTGTGTCTGCGTGTGTGTGTGTGTGTGCGTGTGCGTATGTGTCTGTGCGTGTGTGTGTCTGTGCGTTTATGTCTGTGTTTGTGACTCTGTGTGTGTGACTTTTCCCTATAAAACTGTGGCTCTGAATTCCCGCGCCCACAGCAATAGGGAGACTGCTTCTGCTGGTCTGCTGTTTTGTTTGCCACTTTGCATTTGCTGTCGCGCCTTATCGTGTCGTTGAGACGTCTCAAAGCGCTTCACAGAATATATTGCCAAGTGGATCGACTGTGTATTTTGTGGGCGAAACGCGGCAGCCAATTGCGCACAGAAGTGTCGTGGATTGAGGTTTTTTTTTTTTTTTTTTCGTTTCGGATGGCTTATAACCCCAGAAAGCGAACCCGCCAACCGACCAACAACTGGATTCCTACTTACCGCGAGCTAAATGGAGGGGGTGTGAAGGAAGGAAACTTGACTGAGGTTTCACCCTGTCCGGGGAATCGAACCTGGGTCCTCACGCTTGCGAGGTGCGCGCACTAACCACTACGCTGTGGGATGCCGTTCGTTATTAACTCGCTCCAAGCGGAGCTCGTAGGTTGGTTTGGAAGGTGTGTGGGGGGGGGGGGGGGGCGGCGGCTGGTGGGAGTTTTTTGTTTTTGAAAATAAAAGGAGCCTTCTACAATTTTCACCGCCCTCCTGTTCCAAAAGCAGTGGATCCAGACAGTTTATTTATGGTGGTTTTTGTTGCTTTTTACGATTCCTGAAGCCTATTTAATGCTTCCTGAAAGTAAAGATTGATTGGGGGGGGGGGAAGAGAGCCTTCTATTCCGTCTCTGTCCAACCTCTGCAGCCTTCCTCCTCTGCTCCCCTCCTCAAGTCCCCTGTTCCACTTTTGGTCAGGAACCTGTTAGGGCAGTTGATGCCATTTATATGATTTTGTGACCAAGCAGTGAATTTGCAAAACATTTGACTATATGTAGATGGAGTACTACAACAGCCACATAGTTTGACATTGACATAGCACCTTTCACATCGGGAAGATGTTTCAAATTGCTGTATACAGCTGGTTGGGAGCTTGGATGTTTGGGTGTGGGAAAGAGAGAACGGGAGAGGGGGAAGAGAAGGAAGGTTGCTGAAAGCACGTTTGAAAGGATTTGATGAGGTCGATGTTGATCGGCTGGTTCCAAGTGGTAGCGGGTCCAAAACAAAGGAGCATAACCATAAGCCAGTCAGTAGTAGATCTAAAAGGGAGTTTTAAGAGGAACTTTATGCAGAGAGTTTTATGAATTGAGAACTCACTGTCGGAAGCTGTGAGTAAAACAAAAAACTGACAACTCATTTGAGGAAACGGGATGAATACGTGAGGAGAGGGGAGCAGAGCGGAACAGGAGAGGATTTTTTTTTCGAAGGTTTGTGGAATATCAACCCCAGCGCAGACAAGTCGGGCTGAATAGCCTGACGCCACACCATTACGCACTGTCTAATTCTACGTAAATATTATTATTAAATAGCCTTGCTCACAATGCTGAGGCATCAGAGGATTACATAATGATTTGAGGAAACGTGTGCCTTTGCCATAGATCCCAAGCCCCAGGGGCAATAATCCATCCAAGGTTTTTAAGAAAAATTATTGGTCATTCCATCCACGGCTGTTTGTGGGACACCATTGGGCGCAGTTGGCTGCTGCGTTTTGCCCACACGCTACACAGTTGATTAACTTTACAGTATATCCTGTGAAGTGCTTTGAGACATTTCAATGACGTGATAAGGCGCTATATCAAATGCAAAGATTATTCTCATTAGATTATTATCTGTTCTGGAGCTAGTCCATATGGCCAGGATTTGGATAATAATAATAATCCTTCCATTTGATATCAAAATGAAGTGTCACCTCATCAGTTCCCTTGTCTAGATGGTGTTGAACTTGGGGTGGGTGGGGGCTGATGAGCATTCTCATTTATCAATCCTCTACAGTATTTGACTCACAAAAACTATCAGAGATTGACATCCGATACTGATCCTGAACACGTTTGCATGTTGAGGCTTTGGTTATTGTTGTTATCATTATTTTTCCATCTCCACTGAACCTTATTATGGGTTAATATCAAACCAATATAGGGGAGGTGACAATTGAACACTTTTCCAAAAAAAAAATTATGGGTTTGAGGGTATGATTTTTATTAACAATTTTCATTTTTGTGTCTTCGTAAGTTTCCAACTATGAACTTGTGACATCATTACACTACAGAACAGATTCACATTTGTTTTGTTGGTGAATTCACATTTGATCTAAAAGCTTTTAGATTGTTGGAGGAAAGGGAAATGGAGGTGTGGGCATGAACGAGAGTCTGAACAAGCAATTTGGATTCTTAACACAATGAAGGTACATGGAGGGAAGATGGTAGAGTTGGGGGTTCCGGAAGAGTGAGATCAAATGGGTTTTCTTCATTGCAAACCGATCCTGTGGGAGAACGTAGAATTAATAGAAATGCAGAAGGACATTTGGCCCATCGAGTCGGCGCTGGCTCTTTTGAAGAACAATATTTCGTTCGGCTTATTTAAAAAACGGAAAATTTAGAGGATGAGTGATCCGTGGCGTCGATTAAATACAGAAAGGCAAGAAAGGTCGTGACCGAGAAGCAAGTGAGCAAGAGGACAAAGTTTTTGCTGCACTGAAGCTGTGATTGAAGCAAAAGAAAAAAGCCTCAATGTATTCAAGGGGAAACTTGATGCAAACACGAGGGAGACGGGCATTGAGGGGTGGAGGAGTGGAGAAAAGAGTGGCAGGGGTTCGTGTGGAGACATAAAAGCTGCCGTAGTCTGGTTAGGCTTGTTTCCGAGCTATATATAATTCTACGACTTCTGTCCAGGAGTGTGAGTGAGCTGCTGGAATAGTCCCTCGATATTAAAGCAGTATTTAAATCTGAGATGCTTTGGTTGTGGCATTTGATCAGATTGAAGTGTGCAATTTGAGTTGGGTTCTGTAGTTGGAGATATGCCACTTACCAGCTGGCTGCATTGAATCACGAGAAACGTAATCTTGACCTGTCACCGTATGCGCACTTACCTGTGGGGTCCTGTAGCTCAGTGGTTAGAGCACTCGCCTCGCAAGCGAGAGACCTGGGTTCGATTCCGGGCAGGGGGCGAAACCATGGGCAAGTTTCCTTACCCCACACACCTGATGATAACCCCTCAAGGAAAAAAAACAATAATAATTTGGTCACTCAATCCGCGACTGTTTGTGGGACGCTGCTGTGCGCAATTGGCTGCCGCGTTTCGCCCACAAAACATAGTCAATTCACTTTACAGTATATTCTGTGAAGCGCTTTGAGACATCGAGACGGTGTGAAAAAGTGCTATATCAAATGCAAGGATTATTATGATTACCGGCTGCATTGAATTACACAAGCACAGGGTAGATTATTGATTTAAATCGGGTTTTATACTAGGTATTTACCTGCAACTCAGACTTTGTGGAAGTCATATGAAATCTTATGGTTCCGGCTGATACAACTTATGTGAGTTTTACTGTATAGCAATCAGTAGCCGCTGCCTCTAACGTGCATTATAGCTCTGCTAGATTTTCCTTCCCTTTATGTTTTAGCAGCATTTTGGAGAGTTCGATCTCTTCTTCCTCACCCGTCGAATGGTATCCTTGTCTTTTTTCTTGGTTTGCCAATTTCTCAGTGTCTGTTTTTGGTGTAATTTAAAAAAAAAGGCTCCTTTATTGCTGAAGGTGTTTTTGACTTTGTTTTTGTCACTTTTGTCACTTTGCTGTAGCCCTGTGTGTCCTCTTGTCTTACCCAAGTGACCGTTATTCACGTGAGTCATGTTCATAAATGTTGACAGGCTACGCAATTGAAGGCATTGCAACTGAGCCCAGTTCCGTTCACGAACGGCATCCACGCATACAGATGTGTTCCAGCAGATCTATTCCGGATTTTGTGAATATTGGAGCTGGGGAGACCAGAGAGGAGGGCATTTGAGTAGTCGTGGGAGTAGCTGACGAATGCACGGACGAGAGTTTCGGCTGCGTCTGTCTGGCACAATGTGGCGGAGGTGGAGGAAAGTGCGTGTGGGGTAGGGTAGGCAGCCTTAGAATGGTCGAGGTCTGTTTTGGCTTTGGTACCCTTTTCCAGGGGGTTGCTTCAATACCTTCTCAACGAGGCTTCATTTCAGTACTAGTAATTATGGTTCTCAGATTAGCCGTGTTCTCTTGAAAACCTGAAAACGCTGTTGAGGAGAACAGCAGCTAAGGGTTCATTCAAGTGTTTCAAGCATTAAAGAAAGCATTAAAGCGGTTTGGATGAAGAGGAAGCAGTGTTCCAAAAAATGTAATGTAAAATCCCGCAATACACATCGGCCTTTGCCTGTAATCTTCTGGTGGTGTAAAGTCAGCAAATTTGATTCACTTTGCCCTCAAATTAACAGACTCGGAGAAAACAACAACAACAAGATTCCATTTATAGAGCGCCTTTCGCGTCGGGAGGACGTCCCAAGGCGCTGTACAGTTGGGTCAGGACCCGAGCCTTGGGGGGAAATGGTCAGGGTGAGGGGAGGGGGTAGAGAGTCGAGAGGGGAGCTGAAGGCACGGTCGAAGAGAAAGGTCTTGAGACCGGCCTTGAAGGAGGAAAGGGAGGACGCAAGGCGAAGCAGCGCAAGCCCCAAGGACAAATGGTAATATAGGAAATTGCATTCTCACTTTTTGAATAGCGTACAAGCTGTGATTGCAAGGCGATGGATGGATGAGTTCAATTGTTTATTTTTATAATTGTGATTAACCTTGCTACGGTAAACGTCTTTAAGTCAGTGTCATGCGTTCTCGAAGTTAGAACAAAGTGCTCTTGTTCCGAGTTATTTCTGAGCTCTTTGAAATACTACGGATTATGACAAGGCGCCCCTGCGGCGAGGGGGCAGGAGGTGGTATGGGGAAAGTGACCACGATTTGCTATAATCTCTCAGTGGATTTCGTATTCTCCTACGTTAAACTTTAATTTGCCATCTGTCTGCCCATTCTGCTGGCATGTATGTCATCCCGCATTCTTCTGCAATCCCCTTCACTGCTTAACCCCCCCTACCACCCCCCCCCCCCCCCCCCGGCCGCCTACATGTGTTGTCATCTGTAAATTTTCGACACCACATCTACACCTGGATCCAGAGATTGACTGGCACTCCCTGCTGAATGATGTCTGCCAGAAGCCTCGTGGATGTCAAAGGAGAACTCTGTGGATGTTGTCAATTGCAGCTCAGAATCTGTGCTCACGAATGAGAAATTGTAGTATATTGGTTGGCGAGTTGGCCTCGCAAGCGAGAGACCCCGGGATCGATTCCTGGGCAGGGCGAAACCTTAGGCGAGTTTCCTTATCCCACATGTAGTTTTTACCCAGCGGTAAATAGGAACCAAATTGTTTGTCGCTTTCCGGGGGTAATCTCTTTAAAAAAAAAAAAAATTTTGGCCACTCAATCCACGACTGCTGTCCTGTTTCACCCACAAAATACACAGTCAGTCCACTTTACTGTATATATTTTGAAGCGCTTTTAGATGTCTCGACGACATGACAAGATGCTGTATCAAATGCGAAGATTATTATTCTTACTCCCAAGGGCTGTGGAACCGTAGTTTGACATAAGTTGAGCATTCTTTTAACTGGAGAAAACTGGAGGAAAGTTGTAAACTTTTTGGTGTGTTAAATGCTGTTATCTCACGTAATGATAAATCGCTACAACTTACACTTTAAAGTCCTTCAAGCAGCATTAATCACCTTAAAGTGATTACCTGATATTCTTGAGAGCCGGTGGCATGGAGAGGAAAGATGGGAGCGTTAGTCCTGTTGACCAAATTCGCAATGGAAGATGTTTTTAAAAGAACTTTTGAAGGCAGGGAGAAAGAAAGCAAGGGGAAGAGATTTCAAAAATTAGTCCCAGACAATCAAGTTATACTGGTTAATTAAGTAGCCAGCATTACTTGATTGTCTGGGACTAATTTTAATTAATTAGTTAATGGTGGAACGGTGAAAAGAGAAATGCAGGAATAAGAATTAGACCAAAATTGGAGGATATGGGCAGGACGAGGTTTGGAAGAGATCTGGGGTAAGACAGTGAAGGGATTTGAAGGTCAAGGCAGGGATCGGTGGTGGGCAGGGGCACCAGCGCAGGTCCGCAGGACCTGGAGATCCACCATAAACAGACACTCCGGATCTGTGTCCTGACTGCGGGGCTACAAGGAGCTTCACCACCTCTTGCCTCTCAGGGCATCAGACACAGACGGAGACACAGACAGAGAGAGAGAGAGAGACACATACGCTCACAGGTACAGAGAGACACATTTTCAGAGAGAAAGGAGTCGTGGTTGAAGAGGAAAGTCTTCAGGTGCGATCTAACGATGGAACAAAGAGGGGACAAGGCTCGAGAGGTTATGCCAGGGATTTCTGGAGGTTAGGGGTATAGTGGAGCGGTGGGGTCGAGGGACAGCCGTGACATAGGTGTGAATGTTAGTGAGCCGTTACCGACCTGGGATTACCTGTATTATCCTAACGTTTTGTTTTGAAAAAATCTTATGTTTTCCCAGTCCTTTTAGGAGGCCAGGTGAACAGTTCACCAGGAAGTGATGCCTGTAGAAAGTGGAAATAGTGCAGCTGCACGGCAGGTGAAACAGAAACGCAAATCTCACACTCTCTCCATTCGTCGAACCAACAGCACTGAGCAGGATCGTGTCGCTTTACCACGCGAGATGCTGGAAGGACAGGTACTGTCAATGTAAACTTGCGGCTTATGATGATGGTGCTTGTCGGCCTCCCCAACTCTTCCCTCCACAGATCATCCAGAACTCTGCAGCCCGTATCCTCTCCCGCACCAGGCTCCGCGACTCTTATCGCCCCCACCCTCGCCCAACTCCACTGACTTCCCATCACACAGAGGATGCAGTTCAAGATCCTGGTCCTCACCTTCAAAGCCCTCCACGGTCTTGCTCCCCCACTACCACTCCGACCTCCTAACCCCCTATCACCCTGTTCGCTCCCTCCGCTCAGCGGGCTCTGGCCTACTTCTTCGACCGTGCTTTCGATCTCCCTGCTTTCCCCCCACTGCCCTCCCTCCTCACACACCCCGACCCTCAGCTCGGGGGCGTAACCCTGTCTGTCCAGCGCCTTGGGACGTCCTCCCGATGTGAAAGGCGCCTTACAAATGTAATTTTGTTGTGGTGGTGGTTGTGCTATTTTTACAACTTCCAAAATGGTAAGAGTTATTATACCTGTGAGACGCAGTACACCAATTTCAATATTAAGCATTTTGTCAACGGTAAAGCCAGCCCAACTGTGGATAACTAATGTTATGTAGAATTGTCGCGAAGTCTTTGAAGTTACCTTGTCTTGCCACTTTAGATGGTACATAAGAAGCGCCTGACGATGTCTGGTGAAACGGGCGAGTGCGTACCGGTGGACAGATTAGAAATCCTGACCAAATTGGAAAGTCTGTTCGAGTAGCATTGCTGAACATTCACACTTAACAGACTTCCAGCTGCATCAGTGAATTCATTAACCAAGAACATGGTGGGCTATGGCTGTCGAAGTTGATACACTACACTGCAAGCATTCAAAAAGGAGTTGGTTAAACATCTTTGCTATAAGCAAATTTAGGAACTTGGGGAAAGGACAGGAAAAATGAGCTAAATAAATAGATTACGGCGAGTGTTACAGTCAAGTCCCAAAGTCTTGTAAACAAGTATAACACTTCCAGCAGGGATTTTTTAAAAAAACCAATTAGGAATGACGCAGATATGATAAGCTGAATCGCCTCCTTTCTATGCTGAAAATTTCTGTTTCAAACGTTTGTGATTTCTTACCTCTCTGGAGAGGTAAAAGAGGATTAGTTTTATCTTTATGTGACTAATTTTTTATGGAAAAAAGTCAACCCTAACCCCTAACCCTTCTCTTCAGATTCCTCCCCCTCCCCCCCCCCCCCCCCATCTCCTGATTTTCATTTTGAAGATTGAAACTAAACTTTGGTCCACAATTAACAGTCTCTCAGATAACATTGATCGTTCACTTCATGGCTGTTTGTGTGACATTGCAGTGCACAAATAGACTTGAAAGGACACAGTCACTACACTTGACAGTAAATCTGGTGAAGGCGCCTTGAGATATGTCCTCCTGATCTGACAGACGCTATATTAAATGCAAGGATTATTACTGTCAGAAATGATTCATTATTGTAGTGGCTGATTTCTTATGCAGGAACATATCGCTAACTCCGATTGTATTTCTCCCAATGCCTCAGCGAGTTAATTTAATATTTAATTTAACATAGGCTGGGGAGGTGTGCGCTGATGTCGTAGTGCCTTAGGTTAGGGAGGAGAAACATTATCCAAGATTTATAGTTCTGACATGATCCAGAGAGCCCTGCTGGAGGGGTTATATTAGTTCAGAACAGGTTCGGATGTGACTGCGAAACCCGCTGTAATCGAATAGGCAGCTGCCAAGGCTCAAAGATTTACAGAGAATGTGCAGCACGGAAATTCGCCATTAATCCCAACCAGTGCATGTGGGTGGCCACGTAGGTCAAGGTTATTTTGTTTTCTGCATGTCCCTACCCCACTCACATACCATTTCTTCCCAACCTCCTGACATATTAGGTTAAATCCTCTGCTCTGCGGCAGCCCTGGCTATTTTTCCAGCGAGAGGATTGGTGCCAGCACTGATCGTGTGCAGCCCTTCATTCCATCCAGCTCAGTCCTGCCCCAGAACTGGTCACGATGTCCTAAGAATCTCAACTGTACCATCTCTTCAGCCACTAATTTATCTTCCGAATCTGCCTGTCATTATATTGAACGGCACATGGCACAAGGAGTAATCCTGACTTTACAGCCTTGAGGTCCTGTACCTTAATCTGTTCTTAATTCCTTGCCAGACATTTGCTTTGCACATGCGTGGAGCTCCCTCTGCAGGATCTGGAACCCACTCTTTGCTGCAGCATTAGTTCCCACATGAACTACAATTAATGGCTCCCTCTCTCTCCAAAATCATCAGTGCCCGCTGTTACATCCTGCACCCTGGCACCAGGGAGGCAAGAGAATTTGTGATTCACAATTTCATCTACAGAAAAGCTTCTCTATTCCCCTTATTATCCCACAAATACACAGTCAATTTACTTTACAGTCTATTCTGCAAAGCGCTTTGAGACGTCTAGAAGACGTGAAAAAGCGCTACATCAAGTGGAAGGATTATTATTATTATGGAGTCTCCTATTATCCCCGCATTTCTGACTTTCGCTCGCTGACTTGCCCTCTCGGAAGCCACTTGCTCCATGGTGCCATGGAATTTTTCTAATGGAGTTGTGTAGCTCTGGTTAGAGCACTCACCTCGCAAGCGAGAGGACCTGGGTTTGATCCCCAGGCAGGGCGAAACATTGGGCAAGTTTCCTTACTCCACACGCCTCTGTTTACCGAGCAGCAAGTAGGAACCCGGTTATTAGTCGATTGGTGGATAATAATAATAATAATAATAATAATCCTTGCATTTGATATAGCGCTTTTCACGTCGGGAGGACGTCCCAAAGCGCTTCACAGAACACACTGTAAAGTGAATTGACTGCATATTTGTGGGCGAACGCGGCAGCCAATTGCGCACAGCAATGTCCCACAAACAGTTGTAGATTGAAAATGACCAATTTAATTATTGTTTTTAGTTTTGGAGGGATTATTATTAGGCTCTGTGTGGAGTAAGGAAACTTGCCCAAGGTTTCGCCCTCTGCCTGGAATTGAACTCAGGATTGCTTTTCAGGGGGTAATAATCCCTTTTAAAAAAAGATACTACTAATAATTTGGTCACTGTTTGTGGGACACTGCTGTGCGCAATTGGCTGCCGTGTTTTGCCCGCAAAATATACAGTCAATTCACTGCATGTCCCTACCCCGCTCTGAAAATATTCTGTGAAGCGCTTTGAGACGTCTCGAAGACGTGATAAGGCGCTATATCAAATGGTTGGATTATTATTATTATAAATAATAATCCTTGCATTTGACATAGCCGCCGATTGCACGTAAATAAAAGATAAGGCCATCAGACATAGTTGATGGCACTGCATTCTGTTGAACCTATTGGCTGACACTAGATGGCAGTGCGAAGGAACAAACGGCAGAATATTTCCGATTTCACGGCGTTGCGAATCGCTTGCGCCCGTCTGCAAAACAGTGCGGCTTTCCGCTGCTGAATGTTGACAAGCACCGGGGCTCTCTCGTTCAGCTACCGTTACCGCCTTCTCACCTCAGGCACCGACCACATCTGTCTGCACGCTCTACCTCACGGAGCTAGCACGGCTCAGTTGGCAGCATTCGCATTCATCTGTGAGTTTAAGGTTGCGGGTTCAAGCTTCACGTCGAGACTCTGAGCTCACAGTCACGCCTGACACTCCGTTGCAGCGCTGGGGGTGGGGGGGTCCGTGATGGGGGGCTGCTTTGGGGGAGGTATCATCCTTTGGGTGAGATGTTAACCCAAGGCCCTGGCTGCCTGTTCAGGTGGACAATAAACCATCCAGAGACACTATTAATAATAATAACCCTTGCATTTGATATAGAGCCTAATCATTTCTTTGAGACTCCTCAAAGCGCTTCACAAAATATACTGTAAAGTGAATTGACTGTATTTTTTGTGGGCGAAACACGACGACCAAATGCTCGTAGCAGCGTCCCACAGGTAGGGGATTGAATGACCAAATTATTATTATCTTGAAGGAATTATTACCCCCGGAAAAGCGATCGCCAATCGACTAACAACCGGGTTCCTAACTTACTGCTGGGTAAACAGAGGCGCGTGGAGTAAGGCAACTTGCCCAAGGTTTCGCCCTGCCCGGGAATAGAATCCACGTCCTCTCGCTTGCGAGACGAGCGCTATAACCACCGAGCTACAGGACTCCATTGGAAAAGAAGGGATTTTCTTTTGGTGTGCTGGCCAATAATCCTCCAGATAAAATTTGGTCATTCACCTTGTGGCTGTTTGTGGGACACGGCATAGCAAAAATTGGTTAGAAATTAAAACATAGAAACACGAGTAGGCTGTTTCCAGCCCCTTGAACCTGTTCCGCCATTTTAAGAGATCACGGCTGATCTGTACCTCAAGTCCAACAACCTGCCCTTGGCCCATATCCCTTCATATCCTGACCTAACAAATATCTCTCTACTTCCGTCTTGAGAATGTGAATGGATCCAGCATCCACAGCCTTTTGGGCGCGAGAGTTTGAGGGTTCTGTGATCGCCTGCCAAAATACAGCTTTTGCAACAGTAAATCATGTGAAGTGCTTTTGAGACATTTCAGCAATATATCTTTAATTTCCAAAGAAGGTACTCCCTTGATACAGGAGTCACTGAAGTAGACCGCTGTATTTTATTTTATTCAGCTCATTGTGATTAATGTGAGCCGCCCACTTGAGGGTCACATGAGGGTCTAAATGAATGAGAGTCAGAAATTAGATTAAATGAGAGTCAGAAATTAGATTACCAACTTTTATTATCGTCGTTCTCGCTTTAACCTGCCTTCTCCTGTTTCAGGCTTTCTCTCTGACTCAGATTGTTTGGATATTTAATTTTGACAGATGATTCTCCTTCAGTGTGTAAGCAGGCTGTCTCACATTAATAAGAACTGGGACTAGTCTGGAGCTGCAAGCTTTATTCAGCATAAGAGAGGCTCTTGTGAGTTGCAGGCTGCTTTTACCTCTACCTTGACGTTCCTTCCCTCCTGGAGAAATGGAACAGGTC